GTGTGAATGAGCCCTAAGTTACAGTCAGTTACTGCCCTGCAATTTAGTCTTAGCATCCTCCTGAACAAAGAAAATTAATGTCCGTCGAGAATTATGTAACCTGCAAGCATTTTACATTTTATGAAGTCTTAGTAGTTCGAGGGAGCATTCCACTCAGAGGCTTTGTTCTATTTCACTGTATTGTGTTTCCATCATTCAATTATTGTTATCTTTATGTTTCAGACCGTGCTATAAACTGCCTCAGGAGTTTGAAGGGCAGGATACAAATATATCCCCAAACCAATCAACCACTGTACATTTATGTGAGAGTAAGCTCCATTGTATTGTGAGACTTACTTCTGGGTGAACATGAGCTTCTGCTTTTCCAGTTATTGCAGATCAGTGATGCAGCCGGGAAGAAAAGCCTGAAACATTTTCATGAGCTACAAGTTTACGGAGGTGCACACGGCTGTATTTTCTCGCGCCTGCATGCTGAGACTTCCTTACAACAAAGTGAGTCACCCAAATACAGTCGTACCTTGGTTTTCGAACAGCTTAGTTCTCAAACGTTTTGGCTCCTGAACACCTCAAACCCAGAAGTGACTGTTCCAGTTTGCGAACTATTTCTGGAAGCTGAACATCCAAAGGGGCTTCCGATTGGCTGCAGGAACTTCCTGCAGCCAATCGGAAGCTGCGCTTTGGTTTCTGAACATTTTGGAAGCCGAGCACACTTCCGGAATGGATTCTGTTTGACTTCCAAGGTACGATTGTACAAGACAAGTGGTCTCCTGACGAAGGGCACCATATACCCTCAATTCACCCCTCATAGTTTTCAAATTTGTAAAATTCCTGAATGGAACTGACACGGCTTGAGAGTCTTTTTCTTCAGTGTGGCACAGCTGAGATGGATGCAGTTTCAGCAAACAGAAAGCCAGTTGGTTTCATCCCTGAAATGAGTCCTCAGGCAGGTAATAAGTGAGCATAGATGCACCACTGGTGGAACTCTGCTGTGGATTGGTTGGGATGCTTAGATTTATTTCTGTAGACACACATTGGCCCAAGAAACGCAGGGCTTGGGGTGGCTCCCTAAGGAGGATGACAAAATTAGACCGCAGCCAAGCTTCTAGCTAGCATTTGATGGTTTCCTATTCCTGCCCCTTTCCATCTTCCATCCTTAATCCCTGCCTGCATTGCCTGCCCCCCCCATAAGACTGATGAACTGTATACCTACTATATGAAAGTTAACAACTGGACAACAAAAATGGATTTTACACGCTCTAATGGTCTCCTTTAATCAGCAGATTGATAATATGATAACACTTGCAACCTACAAACGGACTGCTTACAGACTTGGATAAATGGGACAAAATTTGGAACAAATATATTCAAAATGTAGTAGGCTATTAATATTTACATTAGTATTAGGACAATAATATCCAATTTATAAAAGAATGAATGGGCTATGGTATTTTTTTTGGTATATATTCATTTATATTTTTCCCTTTACACAGTTGTGTGTTTTGGCCTTTTTTCTTTTTGTATCACTTTAAAAGGTAAAGGGACCCCTGACCATTAGGTCCAGTCGTGACCGACTCTGGGGTTGCGACGCTTATCTCGCTTTATTGGCCAAGGGAGCCGGTGTACAGCTTCCGGGTCATGTGGCCAGCATGACTAAGCAGCTTCTGGTGAACCAGAGCAGCACACGGAAACGCCGTTTACCTTCCTGCCGGAATGGTACCTATTTATCTACTTGCACTTTGACGTGCTTTCGAACTGCTAGGTTGGCAGGAGCAGGGACCGAGCAACGGGAGCTCACCCCGTTGCGGGGATTCGAACCACGATCACTTTACTGCTTCATATTTGAGTCCCCCCCCACAAATAAAATGTCTATTAAAAAAGAGAGAGAGACTGATACAAGGTCAAGAGGGAAGCTAAGGGAAGGTGGGAGGAGAATGTACCAAAGGCTGGACTCCATCATACTTTGTTTGATCCATAAAAGCAGTCTTCCATTATCACTCTGTGTGAAGAGGCCCAAACACAGCAACTTTCCGGTGTGTGTGTGTGTGTTCTATTCTCAAACAATATCCCCATGTTTCCCTTCTACAACAAACCTCACAAACGCCGCACCCAATTAAATAGGGCTGCCCTCGTTTGTGGAATGCAACAGCTGTAGAACTGTGATGTGTTCCCCTACCCTCCAACAGAAATATTTCCCGAAGTAAAATTATCTCATTTATGGAGCATTCGCCTTCCTTCACATCCTTTGCCAAGTAAAAAATCTGAAAGAAGATTTCTGCACTTCCTTGACTTCAGGCAAGTCAGATAGCCTTTGATGAAGTAAGCCGTTTCGGATATAGATCAAGATAATGGCAGAAATGTTGCTTTTCAGTTCATAGAATCGTACTAGGGCTGGTAGAAAACAGAAGGTCGAATCAAAACTTCTCCCCTAAGTGAGTGGATGTCAGGCTCCCCTCCCTCACCACAAACTCATGGCCACTTAATATTTATTTCTTTTGTTCTACAAATCAAAGCACATGCATAACTCATATTTTAATAAGCGTAGTCTTGCTGTTCTAATGTGATGGATGCCCACCCCCTTCTTCAGCAAAGTTCTGAGAAGTCAGGTGCATTCGTTGTCCACCTTAGTCATTCATCTTGCTTCTGTTATTTGGACTTGAGGGCAGTAACTGGTGAAAAGGGCCATAGCTCACAGGCAGAGAATCTGCTTTGAATACAGAATGTTCCAAGTTCAATTCCTGGGTAGGGAATCTCTAGCTAGGGCTGGGAACGCCCCCTGTCTGAAACCCCAAAATGCCCTTGCCAGTAGAGTGGTACCTTGGTTCTCAAACTTAATCTGTTCTGGAAGTCCGTTCCAACACCAAAGTGCTCCAAAACCAAGGCGCACTTTCCCATAGAAAGTAATGCAAAACGGATTAATCTGTTCCAGACTTTTAAAAACAACCCCTAAAACAGCAATTTAACGTTATCCATTTCCGCAGTCACACCAATCAATCAATAGCTGAACTGGGTTCCACACAGTCACAAAAACAAATTAATTGGAAAAGCCTCAAAAACAAAAACGCAAAATAAGTAGCAAAAACAAAAGCATCAAACTTAATTCGTTTCCGGAAGTCTGTTTGACTTCCAAAATGTTTGAAAACCAAGGTGCAGCTTTTGATTGGTGCAGGCGCCCCAGAAACAATAGCCGACAGCCGCATTGGATGTTCAGCTTCCGAAAAACGTTTGAAAACCGGACACTTACTTCCGGGTTTTTGGCGTTTGAGTACCAAGGCGTTTGAGAAACAGGGTATCACTGTATATAGATGGACCAGTGCTATTTTTCTAGAAAAAGAAGTTGCCGGAACTCACCATGAACGCCTCCCTTGTTCTCTTAGAATGGCAATGGCACCCACCTGAGTTCCGGTGAGTTCTGGCTAAAAAAAGAGAGCCCTGGATAGACCAATGGTAAGGCAGTGTTCTCGTATATTCCTATGTAAAAATCCCCATTCTGTGCAGCTAGGGACCTGGTCAAAGCAGCCTCCATCTCTGTTTTCAGAAATAAAATTAATCAATCACAGGTCCATAGACCAGGGAAGGGGGGGGGGCTGGGAGGCTGTGCCCCTGGGTGTTTTTTGTGGGGGTTTTTTATGGGGCGCAACCCGGTGCCCCCACAACAGGGTACTTCATCGGAACCTGGCTCCGGTGCACAAGGGAGATAGAGTCATAAACAGCAGATTCAAAACGATACAACATGCCTCCTAAATGTGTTGAAATCTGTCCTGGAGAAACAGTTCCAGAATTTAACACAATTTCCATTTCAGGTGATACAGCAATTTAATAATTCGGCTCGCGCTACTTGCTGAAAAACGAGCGAGGCTGCAATCCTATGCACCGGGAGAGAGGACGCTTTCATTCTTTATAAAGTAACTTTTTTAAACCTCCAGAACTATCAGGATTGGAAACCATTCTGATTTCGCTGTCTAAAGCTTTTATAAGAATTAGATTTATTCAAATCTATTGCAGGGATAGGTAAGGAATTTTAGGCATGGGAGCTAATTGTGGCCCCCAAGCTCCCAAGCCTAAAATCCTGCCCTTGGCTCCTCCCTAGACCACACCCCCTTCCCAAGCCACGCCCCTCACCAGCCTTACTTTGCCCCTGCCTTCAGTCTTTTGGCCGGTCTGGAACATATCTTCAAACTTTGATCATGCATGGATGGAGGATAGATGAGCGTGGGAAAACTAGGCCACTGTACAAAGGGAAAAGTTGCAATTTATTGTTCTGCATGGATGCAGCTAGGGGGGGCAGGGAGGGGCAGCTCCCCCCCCCCAAATCAATAAAAATACATAGCTAACTGAGGTTCTGCCCCCTCCCAACAAAAATCCTGCCTACGAGGCATTTTTATTATTTATTGAATTTATATACCACTCTATAGCTGGAGGTCTCAGGGGCGGTTCACAGAACAAAATCAAAAGACAAAACCACAGAACACTCAATCAAAATAAAAACAACAAAAAACCACATTTTAAAAGGGCATAGGATGTCAATCAATCAACCATGCGGCCCTCAGATGGCTGCCCGGGAGGGAACGTGGCCCTCGAGCTGGAAAAATGCTGCTCATGCCTGATCTGTTATATTGATGCAGCGAGCTTTCCTACGGATGCAAACTTCAGCTTGCTATTCCATTCCAGGGATTTATTGTGCCATCTCTCCCGGCGGTAAGCGGAGAATTGCTAGTAAAATGGTGTTGAGACACGGAAAGCAGCATTTTTCAGGATCCAGAGCAGCGCCTGTTCCCTGATGCTCCGTGATGCGCGTTCTCCCTTCTTGCAGCGCAAAATTTCGGTTTTATTCTTATTTTTTTTGCAGAAGGCTCGCCTGATTGCGACCGCGTGCAGGCGAGCCCTTCGGAACGCGCCGCAGCCAATGAGAAGCGCGTTTCATATTGATGAGCCGCCGCCAGCCAATGAGGCGGCGAGCGAGAGTCGCCGAAGTCGAGAGGAGCGAGGCGAGGCGCGCCAGAACTTCTCTCCCTTTCGGAGGGCGCGCTGCTGTCTTGGGTCGCGTCCGGTGGATCGCCGGCCGGGGATCGCGCTGCCCTCGCAGGTGATCCGCGTGAGCGGCGCTCCCCTCAGTTAGGGGACGGGCTTTTAAGGCGCTGTCTCTGCTCAGGACTGAAGATCGCAGCTGCGGGAGCGGAGAGCGGCTGGGTGGGGATCTCCCGGGGATCTCCATGCCCTGGCTATGGAGAAGGGGGCGCCCTGGGGAATCCTGCCTCGCCTGTGCGTGCTGTGCACGGCGCTGCTCTGGCAACTTTGGCCCTGCGGCGCCCACGGCAACTGGATGTGAGTAGAAGCGGGTGCCGAGCGGGATCCCTCATTTCCCGGGGTCGGGGGTGGGGTGATCGAATTGGCAGCGTCTCTCCTACCTTCGGGACAAATGTAAGCTGTTCTCAGCTCTGCAGAATGTCTCTCAAAGATAATAGAATCGTAGAGTTGGAAAGGGATCACGAGTATCATTAATCCAATACCTTGCAATGCAGGAATACGCAGTTGTCCCATACGGGGATCGAACCTGCAACCTTGGCGTTATATCAGCACGGTGCTCAAACCAACGACGTTACCCGGGCGTTAACTCGATTCCGGGCTTTGGGCAGTTTTCACGCGTGCGGGGTTTGAATCTCCCGGGTCTGTGCGTAATAGAATGCCAACTTTCCCGCACGCCATGGAAGCTCCTTCCTTTCTTTCTTTTTGCACGTGCGAGGCGCGGCTGTTTATAAGGAAAGCTCTTTGGTGGGTTGTCACGCGACTTTCAAAGCTTCACCTGGTGAGCCAGGATGCTCATTCCCATAACAAATGCCGCCGCGTTAGTAAAGCTCAAAGGGGCGGCTGCATGCATAGTCATTTATGCCGATCTAAAAGGAGCTGCTTTACTAAGGAGGCTCAAAGAATCCGGGGGATCCTGTGCCTTCATGAGAGAAGGAACGCCAAGGCAGGATGTGTGCAAATGCTCCTGAAACACCTTTTTAAAGGTCCCTTTTTAAACTGAGAAATGTTAGTGTGCCATATATATATATATATATATATATATGGCAGAGACATTGCCTGTACATTTTCACCAGGGTTGCCATTTTTCCCATCAAATAACACATTGCAAACGTAGCAAAGCGGAAGGCTGATTTCATCCTTACAAGTTTCTAGGACGCCCTAGAAAGTGAACTTTTTCGATTCCTTTAGGAAAAATAAATACAAACCTGCCTCCCCTTTTATAATATTCACAAATGGTGGCAGCAAAGTTTGCAGATCTCTTTTGTGTGTGTTGTTTGAGAAGAACCTGAAACCCCGATTTGATCTGTAGGTACGAATCTGTTTGAAACTTGGTTTACATGATAGAGGTGTCTACAATTTAGCATGCATTCATTTATATCCTGTATTTCCTCCAAGGAGCTGAAGGTACATGCATGGTTTCCCCCCTCCCCGTTTTACCCTCGCAACAACCTTGCAGGGTAGGTTAGGTTAAGAAACGGTGGCTGGTCCAATGAAATTCATGGCTGAGTGACGATTTAAAGCTGGTCTCCCAGTGCTCAGATCACCCCTGGATGCTCTCACACAGCATGGAATGGAGAAAATGGACTGCGAAGCATTTCTCCCTTGCTCTGTAAATATTGGAAACCAGGGTTATCAAATAAGGCGGGGGGGGGGGGGCGGATCCAGCACACCAGTTACATGGCAACAGTAGTGGGTTTCTTGCGTCCCAGCTTCCCATGGACATTTGATTGGGAAAGAGAATGCCTTTGGTCTCATCCCGTGAGGTTTTTTTAGTTTGTGCTCAGAGGATGCGTTCTGTGAAACGATTCTGCTCCTTTCACATTTGCAGAGATAATTTTGTGCTCAGGATCTGGCAAGGTGGAATCCTGTCTGGATATGTCTTGTGGTGATTAAATTAAACACACACACACGCACACAAATGCCATAGGCCTGGGGTGTTTGCGGGAATGTCATTAACTGCAGATGTGATACAGCCTGTTACAATCCAGTAGTCTCTCATGACTGTATTTGCCCAAGTGGGTCCAGGAATTGTGTTTGAATTATCTCGTATCAGTACAGTGGTGCTTCAGGTTACATACACTTCAGGTTACAGACTCTAATAACCCAGAAGTAGTACCTCGGGTTAAGAACTTTGCTTCAGGATGAGAACAGAAATTGTGCCCCATTAGCTAAAGTGGTGCTTCAGGTTAAGAACAGTTTCAGGTTAAGAACAGACCTCCGGAACGAATTAAGTACTTAACCCGAGGTACCACTTTATATTGTACAATGAGGTTTTTAAAATTGCCCTTTGTTTACTATGGGAATTTCCTGGTCAAAGGACTTTGTACAGTTCCTCAGTGACATCTATCACCTACCAAGGGACTGTTCAGTCCTCTTTCTGACTGTTGCCGAGTCAGTGGGGAGCCTCTAGCCCAGCCTTCCTCAACACTGGGTCCCCGGATTTTGTTGGACCACAACTCCCATCATCCCTGGGAGTTGTAGCCCAACAACATCATCCAAGTTTGAGAAAGGGTGCCTAGCCCTCATTGGATTCTCTAAAACTCCCGTGGGGCCCTTTTGGCCAAGCTCACCTGCCCCACACCTGATGTCATGTAAGGTGAAGGAAGAAAAACTGGGTCACCTGATGTCATGGTGGTACCAGGTGATTGACAGATGGGTGACTCCACCCAGTTGTCAAACCCGGCGCTTTGGGGATGTGGGAGATAGTGATCCCTCCTGCAGGATCCTCTCAGGCAACAGTCTTGCCCTGCCACAGAAATCCACAATGCCTAGCCCTAATCCCTCCCTCTCGTCTCCAGTCCTAGCTTATCATCTGATTTCAGGTGCTTCTTGTTCCACACCTATTGTTGGGGAATGTTGCATTTGGAAGCGTCATATATTGCTTTCGGACGTGGCCAATAAAGATTACAAGATATTCTGAGCATCACTTTTTTTTTAAAGGGAAACGCCCAGATTTATTTACTTACCTTGGAAGTCAAACAAAATCCATTCCAGAAGTCCGTTTGACTTCCAAAACATTTGGAAACCAAATCACAGCTTCCGATTGGCTGCAGAAAGTTCCTGCAGCCAATCAGAAGCTGCGGAAGCCCCATCGAACATTTGGTTTCCAAAAGAACGTTCACAAACCGGAACAATCACTTCCGGGTTTGCAGCGTTCAGGAGCCAAAACGTCTGAGTTCCAGGGCGTTCCAGATCCAAGGTACAACTGTACTTGATTTATTGATATACGGCCCTTCATCATAAGATCTCAGGGCGGTTCAAATATTAAAATGCAGGATAAAACAAGTAAATAAGTAAAACAAAACAGCAAAATAATAACACCTCCCCTTCCCACATCAATCAGCCAAAGGCCTGATGAAGAGGAATGTTTTCGCCTGGTGCCTAAAAATATAGAATGAAGGAGCCTGGCGACCCGCCCTGGGGAGAGCACTCCATAAGCAGGGAGCCACTACAGAAAAGGCCCGTTCTCGTGGTGCCACCATCTGGACATCACGTGGAAGGAGGCTAAGGAAGAAGGGTGTCAGGTGATGAATGCAGAGAGGCGGTCCTTGAGGTATTGCGGTCCTGAGCCATTTAAGGCTTGATAGGTCAAAACCACCATTTTGAATTGGGCCCAGAAACTAATTGGTAGCCAGTGGAGTCGTGCCGGGATCGGTGTAATATGATCTAACTGGTGACCATTGTTTAATATCCAGATGTCCAGGACCACAACTCAGCCAGTGGTCAGGGATGATGGGGGGTCACAGCCTTAGCTACTCCCTCTGCTGGTCTTCCATGAATTTGTGTTCCTTTGACCCTCTGGTGTTTCGATAATCCTTTCACATGGCTGGGTTGTTTGAGCCGCGGCTCCTCTTTCCTGTTTTGGCCGCTCTCGTCTTACCTGTGTCAAATGAAATGTCCGGTGCTTGGGTCTCACCCCAGGGGCTGCTTTTTCAGGTGGCTGGGCATGGCCTCCTTCGGTGTCCCCGAGAAACTAGGCTGCGCCAACCTGCCCCTGAACGGCCGTCAAAAGGACCTGTGCAAGAAGCATCCCAACCTCCTGCCCAGCATCCGTGAAGGAGCCCGCCTGGGGATTGAGGAGTGCCAGAGCCAGTTCAAACACGAGCGCTGGAACTGCCTCCTGCCGCTCGAGACGGCTTCTAAGACTTCCAACCCTTCGCCCATCTCTGTGGCTCCTGCTTCCTCCGGCTTTGGCTATGAACTGAGCAGCGGTAGGTCCTCTGGTTGGGAGGAGTGGGAAAGTGGCAGGTTTGAGACGCACCATCTCATGTCCCGTCCATGCAGTGCACATTAGAAATCAGCCGGGTGCCTTTTGCGACTGGCGCGGGCCCAATTGTGACCATGTGGAGACCATGTGGCAAAGGTTCCCCATCCTTTGCAATAATTCAAAGGTAGCCAACATTTGCCTTCCAAATGTTGGTGGTCTACAATTCCTGTCTTCCCCAACCAGCAGAACCAGTGGTCATTGTTGTTGCAACATCTTGAGGTAAAGATAAAAGGCTCCCTGGATGGTTAAGTCCAGTCAAAGGCGACTATTGTGTTGCGGCGCTCATCTCGCTTTCAGGCCGAGGGTGTCGGCATTTGTCCACAGACAACTTTCTGGATCATGTGACCAGCATGACTAAACCACTTCTGGCGCAAAGGAAACCAGAGCGGACGGAAATGCCTTTTACCTTCCCACCGCAGCAGTACCTATTTATCTACTTGCACTGGCGTGCTTTCGAACTGCTAGGTTGGCAGGAGCAGGTACTGAGCAATGGGAGCTCACCCGTCGCGGGGATTCAAACCACCAACCTTCCGATTGGGAAGCCCAAGAGGCTCAGAGGTTTAGACCACAGCACCACCTGCATCTTTTAAACTAGCTGACTAAATTAGTCCTATTTGGGCCAGCATGGAGACCAGGGGAGAATTAGCTGTGGGATCCCAGAGCGGGCAATCTTCATAAAAAGGGGGGGGGGGGAGGAAGGTGAATAAAAGATCAGGCTGAAAGCCAGGCGGAATAGCTCTGTCTTACAGGCCCTGTGGAAGGAAGTTAAATCCTGCAGGGCCCTGGTCTCGTGTGACAGAGCATTCCACCAGGTCAGAGCCATCCCTGAGAAGGCCCTGGCCCTGGTGGAGGATAATCTAACTTCCTTAGGGCCTGGGACCTCTAAAGTTTCATCCTAAAGTATCTCCTATGTTTCGTTCACTGTGTGGTGTTCTGATCTTGTACAGTCATACCTTGGTTGATGAACGCCTTGCGAGTCGAACGTTTTGGCTTCCGAACGCCACAAAACTGGAAGTGAGTGTTCCGGTTTGCGAACGTTCTTTGGAACCCAAACATCCGGTGCTGCTTACGTGGCTTCTGATTGGCTGCAGGAGCTTCCTGCAGCCAATCGGAAGCCGTGCCTTGGTTTCCAAACATTTTGAAAGTCAAATGGACTTCCGGAACAGATTCTGTTTTACTTCCGAGGTACGACTGTATATGAAGCACTTTTTCTATGCCGATAAAGGAGATTGATTGAATGACTGTGTCCTTCTGCAGGTACCAAAGAAACAGCGTTCATCTCGGCGGTGACAGCAGCAGGCCTTGTGCATTCCGTGACTCATTCGTGCAGCATGGGGAACATGACCGACTGTGCCTGTGACCCCAAGCTACAGAGCGGCGGCTCAGCCAGCGAAGGCTGGCACTGGGGCGGCTGCTCTGATGACATCCAGTATGGAATGTGGCTGAGCAGAAAGTTTTTAGACGGCCCTGCAGAAAACGTCACGGGGAAAGATGGCAGCAGGCTGCTAGCCATGAACCTGCATAACAACGAAGCTGGAAGACTGGTATGGATTTGACTCCTGTCCTCCCATTCCACTTGTAATATGTAGCCAATGAATGGTAGAGGGTGATACAGTTTCCTGGCTGCTTTCCCATCTCCCTGGCCTTAAGCCATCATGCCCCAAGATCTTCCATCTCCCCCCCCCAATAATGTTTATTAATTTTCATACAAAAGCATGACTTTAACATAACAGAAAAAGAAAGAATAAAGAAAATAAAATACTTCAAACACTACCACATACACTAAGACTTAATTAGTTAATTGAAATCCAACTTCATAAACATATTACTTGACTTCCTCTAATCTCTTCCAACTGAATTTCCTTGTAATTAAATGTAGCAGTTTCCAATATCATTATTTCATATAACAATATTCCAGTCATAATCAAATTTCCTAACTTTTCTTATCGTACTTTTTCTTATTTATTTATTTAATCCTAATTTAATCCTAGGCCTAATTAGTTCTTTCAAGTGGTTACAAATCTTTAATATTACAATATTTATTCAAATAGTCTTTCAATTTCTTCCAATCTTCTTGGTATTCCTCTTTTTTCTGGTCGCGGATTCTCCCGGTGAGATCAGCCAGCTCCATAAATTCCAACATCTTCATCTGCCATTCTTCTACTGTTGGTAATTCTTGTGTTTTCCATTTTTTGGCTAGTAAAATCCATCGAGATCTTCCATCTCTTTGACCTGCACACAGAAAGATAGTTTCCTCCGATTATGCATTCCCTGTGTGGAGCTTTTCTTTAAGAAACCTGCATGTTTTAAATGTGAAGGTTGCAAACTTGTCTTTCCCCACCATTGCGTTTGTCTGACAAATTCTGGGCCATGCACAAAGTGGCTTATTTATTATGGGGTAGATCCAGGCCTATGCAGAGTTGTGTTCACGCGGTTTTTCAGTGGTTCCTCCTTCCCTCTGCAGCCTGCTAAAAAAACTACTCCAGAAAGTTGAGCCGCATGGGAGGGCAGGTGTTGGGGGCTGCAGGTGGAATTTGTGAAAATCATTTCTCCCCACCCTTCGCCAGGAACCCCAGATTAATCGGGGGCCCAGCTGCGAGTAGAAAGAGCCTGTTCATTCATGGAGGGGCGTGTCTGGATCCAAACCTGTATTTTTATCCTGTCCACCTTCAGGTTGTTCAAAATAACTGCCCCACCACCTTTTGTATCTTCCTTATCCTGTGTTATCTTCACAGCAACTAGCTGCGAAGTAAGTTAAAGTCAGACTTGTCCAGGGTCACTTAGTGAACATCGCAACCAAGTCCAAGACTAACCACTAAACTCTCTAGTTTTTAGAGACCCGGGATTTGCCGCAGAAGGTGTGACTTCTAAGCAGCATCCTACCACCACCGCTGCAGGAATTAAAACAAAAATATATATTCTAATATATTCCAATAATGGAGCTCAGATCAGTACTGGACTCGGATTTTGCAAGTTCTTAGCTACCAGGGATGCTATTTCAGATATTAGTTGGGGTTAGCAATGATTTCAGTAGAGGACAAGATTCTTTTGAAAAGGATGGTTCTCATGGGTCAGGTGCATGCATCAGCTGCTCTGCCATATATATATATATATATATATATATATATATATATATATATATAGTCTTGTGCATATTCAGATGCTTACACAGATTGATGTGCCGTTTTTAAGAACCTGAGAGGTGCAGTTGGGTAGAGGAAAAAGGAGTTACTGTGTATAGGTGGGGAAGACAAGTATTAGTATTTTGGAGAGAAAAGCACGCGTGTCTCTGGTATATATATGTGCTGAGAGTGTAAGAGTGAGACTGGCATGCCCGCCTTACATATTTTTCCTGGTCTGGGAGGAATGCTTTTGTTGTTGTTCTTACACACACAAAAACAACAATAACAATTGTGTTGCTGTCCATGTGCAAAATCAATTTTGTGTTATCTCCACAATCGGAGCCAGCAGGGCATAGGTGATTCCCCGTGGCAAGTATGAAGTTGTCTGATGATGTGTTATGCCACGACCCCATAATAACCATTCTGTGAATCGCCCCCGAGATCTTTTCACGAAGGGCAGTATTTAAATTTTGACAACAATTAATAGCAGCAACAATAATAACAGTAATAATAGGGTTTTTTATATTATTTTTGTGACTGCTGCCCCACAGCTCTTTCTCAAAATTTGAAATTTGCCTGCTGGTCCTAAAAGGCGGGCAACCTTTGCCATAGCTGAAGAGACTGGGTGTTGTTCTGTTTTGAGAAACGGCTTGGCTCTTTGGCTGCAGAACTGTTGCAATGAAAGCAAGAACCTGAGCTCTAGTTGTGCATATGGCTCTCTCACACTTACATGTCTGCTTTTATGTTCTTTAATCTCTGGCCTCATTTCTGAGAAGCAGACAACTCCTAAATGGAAGATGTTTAAACATTTTGGGCATTGTCATTTCATAGCCTTAGAAGCGTTGAATCTGTTGCTCGGTAGTTAACAAATGAGCAGAACGTTGCTTGATCGTGGATTGTTTTGGTCTCAACTTTTCCCCAGGCCGTCGCAAAGCTGATGACAGTGGATTGCCGTTGCCACGGAGTCTCGGGCTCCTGCGCTCTCAAGACGTGCTGGAAGACTATGTCCTCCTTTGCAAAGATTGGCAGTCTTTTGAAAGAGAAGTACGAAAGCAGCATCCAGATTTCCGACAGGGCGAGAAGAAAGATACGCAGGAAAGACAAAAGGCAGCGGAAGATACCAATCCGCAAAGAAGATCTGCTGTACATCCACAAGTCCCCCAACTACTGCGTTGAAGATTCCAAACTGGGAGTCCCCGGGACGCAAGGAAGGGAATGCAACCGTACTTCCGAGGGGCCAGATGGATGCAACCTCCTGTGCTGCGGCCGCGGTTACAACACACACGTCGTCAGGCAAGTGGAGAGATGCGACTGCAAGTTTGTTTGGTGTTGTTACGTACGCTGCAGAAGATGCGAGACCATGACTGATGTCCATACTTGCAAGTGAAACCGTACCTGAAAATAGATGACGAGAGAAAAACCCTGAGAAATAGCCTTCTCGTGGTCCTGCTAAGATGACGAGAGAAAAACCCTGAGAAATAGCCTTCTCGTGGTCCTGCTAAGGAGGCGTCTCAAGATGAAGAGCCTCAAAGGCCAAAGGTGTTGGTTCGTATCGAAAGGGCATCTCGGAATAAGTAGAGGCCCCATTTAAAACTAATAGTAGTGGAGACCTGGATCATCTGAAGAATTTTGCCTAGCTGGGTGGCCTACTTGAGCGACTTGTGCCCCTGATCGCCGTGAATAGTCAGTATTTTGATCAGTGAAGTCGAGATGAACACGTCTTTGCCAACGCTGGACACGCACAGTTCTCAAGGCAGCCAGAAGAGCTTAAATGAAACATTTAGAGGCTACAATGACGCCTGGTACGAGATAAACTGATCCCATGTATTAAGAGTACTTTGTTTATTGATACCTCTGGGAGCAAAGGATTACCAGCAGTTGTATGGCTGTTTGCTTAGCTAGTCAAATGTTAAGGGTAAGACTGAGATGTTCATCAGTTAACCGAGCTGAGTCTAAAATGGGTTGAATAGCTTTCTTGGGCAGATCTGGACCTTGGCGTTGGGAGTACACACCAGTTAAAGCGAAATGATGTGTAGCTGCGACCTCCTGGTGGTTTTTTAAATTTTTAGTTGTGTCTTCTCCGGTGCCATTAAAAGCTTCATTGAGGAAAAGGGAGAGAAATAGAGCAGCTTTGTGGGAACGTTGTGTCGTCGCTTAAGGCATTCTCATTCCTTCCCCCCTCCCCCAACCAAATTATGCTGATTATTTTTGTGATGTGATGTGATGCTCCATTCTTTTTATGGAAATGTCTCCCATATGCTATTGCTAAACACACCTGTCTGTGACTATAACATGCCAGTGTGCTATGAAAACTATGGTGTGTGTGTCAGTGAATTTGGCGCATGCTCCATTGACAGGAGGATCAATCCATGATGGATGGATGCATTGTCTTCCTCACATTAGCTGCAGAGCTGCTGCCAGCTCAGCTTATTAAGAAGGGTAGAAAAATCCTAGAAGACATTGCTCTCTTTAGATCTTTTTGGCCACCCTGCAAGAGGCATTTATTCTGATCAGGTTAATCAATATCTTGTTTCTTTGGCACAGTCGTTGTTTCCTAGTCATTGCAAGTATGGTCAGTCAAAAGTGGTTTGCCAGCTCGGGTGGAGGAAGGAAGGGGGTGACTTGGAGATCATTGTGGTGCAAATGCACTAGCAGGAGTATTGGATCGACTCCTTTGGTGTCTTTGCGCAACAATGACCTCGCCACCACCTCATCCCTTCCTCTTGCGCCGAAAGCCACTTCTGTGGCCAATGTTGATAAACCGATAAGCTTTGTGAGTCCGGATCTACTAGATGGCATTGGAGCTCCATCCAATAAAATGGTTAATCTACATTTAGTCATATACTGTACTTGACGTAAGGAAAAAATGGGCTTTGCAAACTTAAGAACTTGCTTGCAAATTTTGGGCAATGTTGGCTATTCAGTGAACATGCATCCTGATTTGTTTGCCCAGAGGTTGGATGGCATTGCGTCGCATTGTCCCATACTTTCTATCGAGTGCCTTTTCCTGTCCCTTTCCTTACTGCAAAAAGTCTGTTCTGTTGGGGGAATGGCTTTTGTTGCAGCAAACCTTCCAGTCAGCTATAATGGCACAGCCTGAATTTGCCAGTTTGTGATGGAATCCCACCCCCAAATAGCAACAGTCTGGAATTTCCCCAAGTCCTGTTGAAGTGAGAGGGGTGAGCTTCTGAGTAGACATACAGGATTGCACTGTTAATACGTTTGCTTAAATTATGCTTTCTGAAATTTTCTAAGAGAACACTGGACCAACCTTTAATGGCCTCAATTTAAAACAGAGGCTCTAGGAAAGGTAAGAGAGAGGAACACAAAATTATCCTCTTGATTTAGTTTTTCAGGTGTTTGCTGATGTGCCTTTGGTCTTATGGGAAGAAATGTCTTAGAATCATAGAATTGTAGAGTTGAAAGGGACCACAAGGGTCATCTAGTCCAGCCCCCTGCAATACAGGAATATTTTGCCCAATGGGGCTAGAAACCACAACCCTAAGATTAAGAGTCTCTTGCTCTGCCATCTGAGCTACTAAGGCAGATCAGCTCTTTTAATCTGGTTCACCAACCTACTGATTCAAAATCACCTTGGCTCTTCTAGCTTATCCAATATGGATGACTTGAGGCTGGGATCCCATTTACTTGGAAGTAAGGCCCATTCTGATTTGTTGTTGTTGTTTAGTTGTTTAGTTGTGTCTGACTCTTTGTGACCCCATGGGCCAGAGCACGCCAGGCACTCCTGTCTTCCACTGCCTCCCGCAGTTTGGTCAAACTCATGCTGGTAGCTTCGAGAACACTGTCCAACCATCTCATCCTCTGTCGTCCCCTTCTCCTTGTGCCCTCCATCTTTCCCAGCATCAGGGTCTTTTCCAGGGAGTCTTCTCTTCTCATGAGGTGGCCAAAGTATTGGAGCCTCAGCTTCAGGATCTGTCCTTCCAGTGAGCACTCAGGGCTGATTTCCTTCAGAATGGATCAGTTTGATCTTCTTGCAGTCCATGGGACTCTCGAGAGTCTCCTCCAGCACCAGAATTCAAAAGCATCGATTCTGATTAGTCATGGGTAAAGTTGTGCTGTGAAAAAGGCAAGTCAAAGCGTTCCTGCTTTGTGAATGGTGCCATTGTTTCTAAGGACATTGTCCAACTGGAGCATGTCTTGCCAATCAGAAGGTCGGCGGTTCAAATCTGCGCAATGGGGAGCATGTGTACAGGAGGGTTGACCTGGTGAGGGATCTGGAAACCAAGTTCTGTGTGCAGTGCTTGAAAGAGTTGGGTATGTTTTGCTTGAAGGAGTGATGATTAAGTTCAAGCCTTCAAATATCTGAAGGGATGTCATACAGGAGACAGAACAGGCTTCTTCTCCACTGTTCCAAAGGATGGGACTAGGACCAGCAGTGAGATTGCAGGGAAGGAGATTTCGGCTAAAGTTTTTAAGAGAAACCTTTCTTAAGAGCCATTCAATAGCAGAATATGCAGTCTCAGACAGTTGTGGGCTGTCCATTGCTGGAGGCGTTCAGGCAGAGGTTCAAGCAAAGGTTTATGCTGTTGTTTGATCCTGCACTGCAGATCTTGCCTGGACCAGATAACCTCTATGTATTATAGAACCATCACCAATGAACTACAGTAGGTTAATCTGTTGCACAGCAGGAGCAGCTCTGAATTGAATTTTAAAATTCAGTGAGATGTCATGGGACTTTTCTCTAAGAACAGCAGAAAATCTGACTCTATAGGTCTGTTATGCATGCTTTCCCGGATCATGGCTTCTGGTTGTTATGGGGAAAGATGTGTGAGGGGAAAGTGTTTAATTCTCAGGTGGTGAACTTTTTGGCTCTGCAGATTCTTACTGGATCAAACTTCACAGGTGGACAGGGCTGCCCACCCGTCAACACATGACCTCACATTGATGTCAGGTAGTTGGGTGATTTGAAGTCCCAAAGTTAGGACTTCAAAGCACCGTGCAGGATTTGCAAAAGAGCTTTGCATGGTGTTTTCACGCTCCTCAAACGTCACCTTTACCCGTTAGCCGATGGGTGGCAGTTCCAAAACCTGCCTGCAGACATCAGCTACTACGGGAGCAAGTTCCACCTAGGAAACCTGTTTGCCAATGCACAATCGGCTTGCTCCAAGGCTCCTAATGGTGCATTGAAAGCCACATCTCTACCTGCTACAACCTGATGTCACATATGTTGGGGGGGGGGAGTGAGTATGGATCGAGGAAGACAGTCTTGTGCTCCAAATATGAATCCCTGTTGGGCCAAGTTTGGCCAGCAGGCTGGAACTTCTCCACCCTGCTTTAATGGCTAGTGATCCCCTTCCATCTTCCATAGCTGGCAGCTGACTGCCCTGTTTGGTGTTATGCATTGGCCTGCTTTGCTGAATCATGGGCAGTTTCGTGGAAACATCTCATTGATTTGAATGGACTTATTTGCATCTGGTTATAATCTCTCAACTGGTTATCTTATATGCTGGCTTAGCCACTAGGCTTGGCTCATATATCTACTTAACAGCCCGAGCAGTGTTTTGTCAACATCAGCACTATTGACGGGAAGAAATGCTGGCGGAATTGGGCAAGCCTCGAGTTTCAGCTCAAAAGCAGAATTTTTATTAGCTCTTGCAGATCTTGCTTTGCAGCCACTGTGTGGTACATAAAACCCTAAATGCTATGCACATGTGGGTTGGCTTCCTGGAACTGCTGGAATACATATGCACATGAAACCCACTACTTAACCCAGCTCATTCCTATGCTTGCTTGTTCTGATCCTATCGAGTTCAGTGGTTTTGACTCCCAGCTAAGCATGCATAGGGGTGGCAGCCTCAACAGTGTCTTTCGGGACCGATTATACTTCCGCAAAAATGAAGGGTGATGTCATGGTAATTATTATGTAAATGGAAGCTTTGAAGGAAAGCATCTGTGCTTAAATGTCTTGTATTTTTGATACGACTAAAAGTTTATATAGTGCATGTATTTAAATTATGCGTGTTCGCATCCAGTGTTTTATTTAAGCCTGTTAAATTTCTAGAACTGAGAGAAGCTTTTGGTGGTATTTCGTGCATGGCTTCTCAGCAGCAAGTCTGAGATCAATGAGACTTCTTCCCATGCAAATGTGTGTAGAACTGGCAGTGTGGTTATAGGGTTGGATCCAGAACTAATCATGCTTAGACTGAAATTGGTGGGAACTTAAATTAGTCACAAGCAACTTAGATCCCATTGATTCCAGTGGTTTCTGCCTGAAGTATGGTTAGATCTGGATTCTACCCCTTTGTCTTTGATGGCGACAAGCTTAATCTTCCCCATTTGGTAAGGCGGTTTTTAGATCTTTTATAACTCATCACATGCGTTTGAGAGCAGAGGTACAGGCAGCTCACGTGGCATCTGCACAGAGACTCAACGGGAGAATGAGTAAGATTATTGCAGGTGGAGCAACTTAATGGGGTAGCCAAGCAACTTCCATCTAATATGCTTAATTTTTTAAGGTGCTGTATTTTATTGCTTTATACTTAAAATATGACCATGTTCTTTCATATTTGTTAACTGAATAAAAAATTATTTATTGTTACATATGCATCACTCTTGAAGTCCAAGCCTTAGGCAGGGCCATCTGCAAGGGGACGCCTATACATATAGGCTTTCCCTACACTAAAACCCTAGTTGGTTCCAGAACACAGGGAGGTTTTGTGGCACTGAAAAACCTATGCTCAGAAGGATTTCCCTGGCAGATGTCCATGGCTAGCATGCTTTGCACAGTGTATGCATGAAGCAGCTCCAGTGTGGCTTTCATGCTTCCTGATCCCAGGGATCGACATCCAAGAGCTTGCAAGCATCAAACTCCCTTTTCAAAGAGATTATGTGGATTCTCAGCAGAGCTGCAGCCAATCAGGACTTCCTGCTTTTAGTGTAGGGGGATTGATGCCTGGGTTTGTCGCGTTTGTGCTTCACCTTTCTAAGGCAGGCTTTCAGCATCTTTGTACACCAAGTAAAAACATGGGCTTCTGGTGGAGCCCATAAAACTTTTGGTCGTGGGTTTTAAAAACTTTATTTGATGAAAAAATATAATACTCGGAAATGTGGTTTTATTTCTTCTGAACATGAACAACAAATCTGCATGGTATTTACAAATAATTGCCTTTGACTGTTGAGGGTGCATTTTATTGCTAGGCTACAGTAAATTGCTAAGAAGAAGGGAGAAAAAACATGGTATGAACAGGTTAAAACAGTAAAGCAGCTCAGATTCCAGTCACCAGCTCTTGGTTTGGAAAGTTGGGTGGCTCTTCTGAACTATTTTAAGCCATAATTATCAGTATTGCTTTAATATCTTTAGTGCAAACAATATTTGATTAGTCCAACTGCAACTCTCAGTAACCAAGTCAACTGCTTGGTTTTAAAATGCTCCTACTGTTGGGGCGGGGAAGGTTGGCTAACCCTATCTGCCAACACAGCGCAGACTTGACAAGACTGTACACAGAAATATAACTTGATCCCCTACAGCAAACACACCATCAAAATTATATTACACTTTGATAAGGTCTCTAAGACCAGTGGGGGGACGGGACGGTAGTTGTAGCTGAATTACATCTGAAGGGCTGCAGGTTCACTGCCTCTGAGTTGTGTACAAGTCTAAAAAAACCCCACCCAAATTGGAACCCCAGTGGAGGACTGCAGAAATTAGCACCACTGCAGGGGCCCCGCCACTACAAAGCAGACCCCAAATGGCCTGAGTCACTTTTAGGAACACTGGGCCCACAATTCTCACCAAGTACCAGCAAGTTGTGGAAGAAGCTTGTCTTTCTGCTTCCTGGAGGTGCTTTTTTGTGGAGGGGGGGGGGTGCAGCAGGAAGAGAAGGAATGGGATTTTTTTGGGGGGGCGGGGGGAAACAGTCTGTGGATTCCAGCGATTGCCAGAGGTGTGCACTGTGCATGTAGAGCCCTTTAGAGCCTAGTAGCAAAAAATGTGGCACATGGATTTTCCAAACCATCAGTTTGCACACAGGATGCACACACCTGCCAGGGGGTGATGAAATGACCATAAACGAACATCAAATATCCTTAAAGATGTGGTCTGCCCTTTTAAACCCTATCGTTAAAACAGGATATTCAATTGGCAACATTTTCAGTCCTATAATATAGATGTGCTCCGTAAGAGTTCCCTTCCCCAAAATATTCAACCCCTTTCCTCAATTTTTTACTTGTAGGATAGGTAGCAAAACCGCCCAGATTAGCTGATGCGTGCGGAGTTTAATTCCTAATAGAAATTAAGTCTATTTTTTAACATGCAACTGCTTGCTTCCAGAATAACACTAACTGCCAATGGTGGGTTTCTCTCCAATACTATCTAAAGCAATTGGCGCGGTTGGTGGTTTATAGAACTTTAAAAGATGTCTAGCTGAACACACACAGACACAAAGCAACTACATTATCCTGCTCTATTAGCAGTACGTTTTGCTAACCAGAAGCATGGGCCACAGATAATCTAACAATAGCAACGAACGCAATGATATAACATTGGTTTTCATTTTTAAAGGGTTTAATTGTGCTTCTTATAGCAGCCTACAATTTTGTATTCAACACTCAACCTTCACCTATCTGAAGGTTTGAAAAGGAGGAGGGATCACAGAAGAGTGCTGCTTTCAAAGAGGCAGAGCATAAATATAAGTTCGCATTTTTGGCTAAGGCTGGCATATCCCACCAGATACGCACTTGCAGCCAACGTCACCATTGTTTGAGCAAATTACAACATAGCTCAGGATCAGTTCAGTTATTTATTGGGTACATTTAATGGCCTATGCTGGTAGTTCTAAAAGAGATTTACCATAAAATAACCTGAACATTGTGCTTTGGGGGGGGGGGGAGTAAAAGAAAAGCAAGTAAGGATAGGAGGAAGATGCTTAGAAAGAGCAATTTCCTCGGTCTGGGCCTATGTACACATTTACACCAAAAGAAGGATCTCTGTTTTGACAATAAATAAATCGGATTTCCAAAAATGTCAATGCCCATGCACATTCTAAGGTGGAAACATGCTTGGAGAGTATTTACATGGGGCACAATCTGGCCGGATAAATCCCTGCACAAGCCCCATTTAAAAATGAATTGCGCGATTCACCATGCTCATTTGCTCAGCTCCCATTCATTTTTGTGGGCCTTGAGCGAGATACTAGCCTGGATGGGATGTGCCCATACATAGTAATTCTTCTTCCTCCATACAAAGTATTCTCTACCCAACAGCAGCAGAAAGTGCATTTCCCCTCCAATGTCCTTTCGCACTGTAAATGTCCATTTGACGATGCCTTCAGTCCAGCTTCTGTGGAATGCAGCCTTCCATCTCCACGACCTCTGGCCATCCTTCATACTTGTTTGTGTCTTTGTTGTTCTTAATATGCTGCAAATGGGGGGTGGAGGACAATTGCAACAGTCAAAATACTAAAGCGATAATTGGCTTCCAGCAAGAGACCCCATACATTTACAAAATAAAAGCTTTTTTACATAGTCTCCTTTCATCTACTGTGATCTTGCAAATATATACATAACCACATATGTTACAATTGGTATAATGCTTACTCTACTTCCTGTAGAATAGCCCCAACATGTTTGGAAGTGAGCTAGTAAGACACCTAGTTAAGTTATCCTTGCTCAAAGGCTAAACATTTATTTTTAAAATCTATATTCTAGCCTTCCATTTTGTTTTTTAAAAAAACGATAAGGAAGCAATCGTGGAGCAAACACTTTAACTTGCTGATGTGCCTGAAACATGAAAGGTAGAGGCTTTTGGAAACTTGTGTGTAACAGAACTGAACTAAACGTTCCAATTGCACCAAATGAAAGGGAAAATTCAAATCAACGCAGATGTTATAACAGCAGTTGCAAGTTTGCATACATTTCTACAGCTCTGCAATACAGAAGAAGAGGAATGTGCTCTGAAGCTAATTTTCAGAGCCCGTTAAAAGCAATACAGATATGATCTAGGAAATGCAAAAACCGTGAGTGTTATCTGAGATGTTCCCGTATCTGTTACAGAAACGGCAAGTTCCAACTTCCCTCGCAGGGTGAACGGTGGAAATTCAATGTGCTTTCGGATTATGGCAAAAGGTATTACTGAGACTTCTTGCAGCAGAGTAAGGTGTTTAAAATGCTGGGATGGCAGAACAGGAGACAGCATTTCATTCTGCAGGTGGAAACCACTCAATGTTTCCCTATATTAAACACTTCCTGCAAACAGAAAGCCTGCAAAGTTAAAACTTCTCTCTCCTAAAGTGCTGGATTTCTAGTTACAGGAAGGTTTAATGTGCAGAAGCATCAAAATGGGCATCCTCTGCCTGCAGTCTGAAGCGGTGCAGTCCTTCATATCATCTCAGGATTCTACAAGCACGTTCATTCTGCTGCCTGCTGAGGCCAAGGTACGTCGGCTGTGAGTCTTGGACTCCACATGGCGCTTCCAAACGTTAACCTGAGAACAAACCTGTTCAAATGGGCTTTTAGTCTTGATTCCTTTCCCGCCGCAGAAGACCCAGTTGTCTCTGAAGCCAAGGTTCGTGATGGATGTGCTTCCTAGTTCAGATATTAGTTTCCGCGATTCTTCGTTAAGCCTTGGAAAAGATTCAAAAGGGTTAATATACAAATGAACTGGTAAGGCCCTGGCTGTATTAACCATGGGTTGCCAATGGGTTGGCTTCTCAGTGTGCAACTTTCATCTGCCACAACCAGCATGACCATATGTCAGTGATGATGACAGCAGCAACCTCTGGGGGGTAACATTGGCTGTCCGCGATCTACGCAACTGATTTAAATAACCATTCTGATTCATGTGCCATTCGAGTTGTGTTTACTTGGGCAAAACGGTACAATTCAAGTCCAGTGATGCTTTCACTTTGATACAGATGGATGCTACTGGATGCCAATGCTTTAAGATAAACTTCCATGGCCATTGAAGAAAAATTATGTATTTCATCTACCGTATATACTCGAGTATAAGCTGACTTTTTCAGCACATTTTTTATGCTGAAAAAGCCCCCCTTGGCTTACACTTGAGTGAGGGTCCTTTCGGGCTGCTCCTTCCCCATTCTCCATCTTTGTTGCTAGTGGCGGTGGCAGCAGCGGAGGAACGAGTAGCCCAAAAGCAGCCCTTTGGGGCTGCTTGTTCTTCCTCCGCTGCTGCCGCCACCACCAGGTTTGTGGTGTGGTGAACCGGCTTATACTCGAGTCAATAAGTTTTCCCAGTTTTTTGTGGTAAAATTAGGTGCCTCGGCTTATATTCGGGTCGGCTTATACTCCAGTATATACGGCAATTACCCTAGCCTCTCTCAGGCGACTACCCCTTCTCCTTGCTCCCAGCTGTAAACTCCAGAAGCCTGGCCCATTCAAGGGCACTTGCATTCAAGTTCTCAGGGATTTTCCTAGTCATTTTGCCTGATTATATAGCTAGATCAGGCCACGGACCTAATTAGATCTACAAGGTCCTTTTCTCAAAACCACAACTACCAGACCCACACCTGACATTGGAGAACAGTATACATCAGGAGGCTTAGTTTTGTCAGAATCGAATGTACACTTCCAGAGTTAACACTAAATACGTTACTGGTAAATGAGTCACTATAGCATGAAAATGTGGGTCCCGGGCTTTTCAGACTCGTCTATAGAATCACAGAACTGTAGAGTTGGAAGGGACCATGAGGGTCATCTAGTCCAACCCCCTGCAATGCAGGAATCTGCATTGGTTGCAAAATGTGATTATTATTTTTCCTGCTCTCCTACCTCACTACCTTGATCTCCATGCTTTGACAAAGTATACCCTCTCCTCCCCACAAATGCTTAGGCTCAGTCGCCTCCTACAGATTGGGGAAATGGCCTTAGGGGTGTCAAACATTCAGAGAAATGGTGTCCTCCACTGCTACTACAGCAACTGACAAGTTAAGACATTGCTGCCTTAGTCCTTATCCATATGACTGATTCCCTATGTGTAAACAACCCTCTTTTTTTGGGTGGTCTTAGCAACTGCTTACTTAGTTGCGCCATCATCGTAGGTTGCCATTAATACGATTGTTCCATCTTTAATGGTCTTCAGAAAGTCAATAAGCGGGGCAACATCTAAACGAAACAGAAGTTTAGCACAACACAGTCACAATCACATGCAGTGCTAAAATTTCTACATGGGACTTCCTTTCAAAGAAGTAATAACACGGAAAATAGCAATGTTGCTAGGATTAAGAGCCCAAACTAATTTATTTTTAAGAATTACCTCTGAATGTTCTTTGCTAAATTCCGATGCCAAGTGTTTGCAGACTGCTCAAAATTTCTATTTCTGGCGTTTCACAGTAGTGATAGGTGACATGCCATGGTGTTTAGCATTTGATGATAATGACAGCCAACATGCAATGGTATATGCTAATGTTTTTAACTTCCTGCAACCGGGGAATGCTATCCACATTTATTTGTCTACTATGGAACTTCTGCACACCAATTACAAAAATCCTATCGTAGCTACCAGTGATGAGGAACATGTGGCGTCCAGATGTTGCTGGAACCCCATTGGCCCCAGCCAAAAGTAGAGAGATGTAGTTCAACAACATCTGGAGGGACACAGGTTCCCCAGCTGTGAACTTCTGGGGGCACTTTCTAGGTGCACACTCCATTCCATGCATGGCTCTAGTTCTTTCCATTTCCTGCTGTGAGCTGAGAGTACACCCATAACACACCCAGCCTTTTGCTGTGTGGATTTCAGAAGCATGGTTGTTGTTGTTGTTTTGTTGTTGTTTTTGGACCATTTATATACCGCTCGTAGTTAAACAAAACTCTTAAGCGGTTTACAACATAGGTTAAGACATCTCAAATAAACAGCAAATAATACCAAAACAAAAAAGAGACAATTTCTACGTTCTATAAAACTTAACTAAATAGAACATCCTCGTCAGTAGCAAAATCAACACTGCCACATAAAAATAAGCTGCAAAAAAAAAAAATGCAAGGAAAATCCATTGTAAAGGACTAAATCCAAGCATCCTCTAAAGATCAGGAAGCAAAATAATTCAAAATGAAAATGAGCTAAAAAGTATAAATTTCACATTTTAACAAACAAACCTGATTCGCAATGAAGCAAATCAACTCATTCTTCCCCATCAATCAACCAATCAATCAATCATGCCATTAAATGAATCAATCCAATTAAATGTCCAGCTCCCTATTCAGCAATCTGCACAAGCTAAAAATGCAGAGATCATTCAGTTTCGCTCACACACCTGCCAGCATATAACGTATTTGATAGCTGATGGGAGATTTTATATTTCAGGTCTGCAAACAACCTAGCAATGCCAACAAGTTTCAAATGTCTAGATTCTGAGATTATTATTATTTTTAAATCAAAATGCAATTTTCAATTCAAAGTTCTTCTTTCAACATCTGAGTGGGAAAACTCAACTACTTTCATTTTATACTGATTTTTTAATATAAGAAGCAAGTATTCCAGCACTTACCTCCACCCCACATGTCAAAGAATTTTGTATCCACCATGCTACCTGTTTTGCCTAGAAAAGGATTAATAAGTAAGTTTAACGGAATAGCACGTTCAAAAATTGCTACAGATAAAGTGAACAGATTTTGCTCACATGGAAGCTGCAAACAGCCCCTTCAAAAGGCACTGCACTGTTGTGCTTATAACAGAGCAAAGTGGGCTTTTAACACAGCTGCCAACCAGCAACAGAATCTGCCTCCATCTTTGGCCATTGCTTGACTTTAGCCATCACCAGCAGAGGCCATGAGCGATTTCCACATTTTTAAAGCTAGTGATTATCAGAATGTTAAAAGCCATTACACACAACTTTGGCTAAGCTTTCGGCTAATGTCCTTCTCCACTGAAGTTGTCCTCCAAATTAGTTGTTTTTTCTTAAAAAAAATATAATACTGACAGATGCAAGTTGTCATTTTGTAAAGATTTTTAATAAAGTTATCAGGGTGTTCTGCTTACAACAGGGATGCAGTGCTGGATTTTAATCACAGTGTACACACAAAGATTAGATTACGTTTGGGGACAGAAATGTGAACTCCTATTGGCCAACAGTTTCATTAGCAAACCAAAATCACCGTGTAAACTACAAAAAAACCACAATCAGAACTGTTTTAGAGTTTCTTGAAGGTTTTAAGAAGTAGGTAATTAGCAGGAATACCCCCAAACTCTGCCCATTTAGGGCTGGACTGCTAGAGGACAACATCCTAGGAAGTAACGGGCAACAGTTCAGCTCAGAGTCACCCAAGTTATTAAGGTTTTTGCAAAGGGTGATGGCAGCAACCTCTTTCTGGAATTATTCTAATGACTTCAAGTACAAAAAGGCAAGAGCGTGCTAGGATCCAATCAATTTTTATAAGTTTTACTGTGATTTTGTTTCAGTGCTGTCGGCTGCCATGAAGGAAGGAGCGAATGAAACCTTTCAGTTAACAAAGCGAGAACCAGTGCCAGCCAGACCTTGTATGTTTCTTCTCAAGGAAACAGTCAGTACATATACACTATTTTTCCAAGTGTAGATCTGTATGTTGGCAAAATGGTGCCATTCACACACAAAGAAGGGAGGTTATCAGTAGCATCGGTGGAAGCCGAAGGTTTGCAGGTAACCAGATGAAGAGAACCCTCCCCTGGAAAAATGAGGACTGGGCGTGTTCTGTGGGGAAAGCAGGGGGGGGAAATGATGGTGGGGGAGTGGAATGGAATTATTCTGGAAGGACCCTGAACAGGACCACTCTACGCTGCAACATTTAGTTGCAGGTCACGCTAGCCACTTTTGAAAGTTACCACTGACTGTTCATTTGCAGCTAGATCCAGTCATTCCACATGTGAAATTTGCCTTCTATTATGATTAATTCTCCGTGCCAACATTCAGGCTTCATTACTACTTGCCTGGAAATAGTTTTTACGTTAATGTAAGAACGCTGATATGGTTTAAAAACCCCAAACCAGTCACTTACCGTTGACCAGCGCTATATTAATCCCTCTTCCAACATTGTTTTTAACTCCACTCATCAACCTGAAACGAAAACCGCAGAGAAAGGGAATTATGACAGGCTTTCCCCCTCTCCAATTCCCCGCTGCCAACTGGAGGTTGTGGAGAGTACCGTATACTTTCTAACGACATCCTGTAAGAAATGTGAACTTCTCCCCTCTGGGCTAAATGAAATTTGCACACCTTACTGCTACAGGAAAGGTTGGCTCTTTTTCCATCATCACTTTAAATTATTACAGATGGCAGACAGCATAACAAATTAGACTGTGCATCTGATCTAACATGCAAGGAGTCCACCCAGGGTCTACTATGAAAAGCTACAATTCAGGGAGACCAGTTATTCCACTGCCAGCAGTGAGACACATCTAGCCAATCTCAAAATATACAGCTTTAACTAACACATGTTCTTCAAGTTAAGCAAATCTGACTAATTAACCCAACCCATGTCCCATTTCTGGGAAAAGAGAACCTCCTATTATTATTATAAGAAGAAGAACATGCACCATCTTAATCAACTTCCTGTTAAACAACAGGTCTATCTACAGAGCAGCTTTTCTGGCACTAGCTTACATAGCATAGAAACTGAAACAAGAGCAGGGCTATAGAATAGAAAATACTCTCGATATGGCCTTTGCTGGGTTATGGTTTGGGTTCAGCACACATGATGTCCATTATGGACCATCAGATTGTCACAGCAGAACAGCATTTGTGAGCCAAGTATTGTATTTCATTTTTAAGATACAGTTGTTGGGGTTTTTTGTTTTTTTTTACCAATTCTGTCATGAGTTAGCTACTGTGATGCATAGGATTTACCACAAGGGGGTAGTAACACATCACTTTAGGTTTCCTGCTGAAGTGCTGGTAGAAAGGATTTCAAGGTCTGAAATTCCATTCAGAGTGTACGATTAACACTGCGTTTGCCAAACGTGGGTCCCCAGCTGTTGCCAGACTACAACTTCCATCATCCACAGCTAGCAGGACCAGCGGTCATGGATGATGGGAGTTGTAGTCCCAACAAGAGCTGGGGACCCAAGTTTGAGAAACAATGGATTAACATTTTAACAGAGGATGACTTGGGTAAGGAGGCCACCAGGTGTGCCAACTGAGCTTTGAGAAAGACGTGTGGCACAGGTGAACTTGGGGGTGCACAGTTAAGAGCCAGATCTGAAAGAAGTCCCCAAGCTGCAAGCCTTAAAAGGGACCCTGCAGCTCTGCTCAGCACAGCCTGAATGCCATCTTAACTTGTGAAGCAATGGAGGAAGCATTTAAAGGAGGACATCAACTGCATCGGATACATCAAGAAACACTTCTTCTCCTGCTTCGTAAGTCCATCAGATGTCACCTGAGGTTCCAGATCACAACTGTGGCCTTTGGATACGTAATCTAATCTTGCAGTGAAATAAATCAATCTGGAAGCTTTGGAGCCAGCTGGCTGGTTGGGGTGAAAGGGCAAAGAAGCAAGGAGGCCAAACAATGGCTCCAGAAGTTTCGAGAGAAATAGTGATTGAAAGAAGAAAAAATTTCTTAATATGAACATGCACAAGAATGCAAGACCAATTTGTTCTCCCACCAAGCTGGTCCCACCAAAAAAATTTGGAATATATCCAATTAAGCTCCATTAAAAACAATGGGCCTAAGTTAGTCATGTTCATTAATTTCAATGAGTCTACTCTGAGTAAGGCTAGCACTGGACTGGCAGGGCTGAGCCCTTTCGGGATGGTAGTGTATACAGCAGAACAGTAAAGAAACTATGCAAATATTTGGCATGGCTGTTAATCGCTAGAACAAATCCATCCTTAAACCTTGACATTATCTCCAGCATTCTACAGTAAATTTGCATCCAGGATAAAAAAACACAGGCGAGTATGGACAGCTTAGGTTTCATCCTGGTAAATTATAAAGCAGAGTGTGAGACTAACTCCACTAGGGAAAATGGCCTGTACGGAGCAAAAAAGTTTGCAAAAAATATGTTATTTTGCTGGATACTAATCTTACAGAAATGGACTTTGAGTTTTGTATACTTAAGTGAGGGTGGGTGGGGAAAGTTCTGCTACTGACCCTGATGATGAGTTGAAGCCACACGGAGGAAAGCGGCTGCCCCATAGTCACAAATGCTTCTAATCTTACAATGCCATTTTAATCACAGTAAAAAGTGACAAAACCTAACCTATTACTAAACATTTGGGGCTTTAGCCAACCGTGTCACTCCGCTGATGGTTAAGGAAGGCTTTTGTCAGTGGAAAGGGGCAGGTAGCCATTTCTGGCAATTCCTTCTTCCCCCAAGTCCTCCCAGGTCCCCCTTAAACCTCCAGAGGGGTGGGAGGACCCTCTTAAACGGCGGTTCTCAACCTGTGGGTCCCCAGAAGTTGTTAGACTACAACTGCCATCATCCCTGAGCTCTGGCCTTGCTAGCTAGGGGTGATGGGAGTTGTAGTTCAACAACACCTGGGGACCCACAGGTTAAGAAAGGCTGCTCTTAAAAGATCCTTGGACAGTTAAGTCCAGTCAAAGGTGACTATGGGGTGTGGTGCTCATCTTGTTTTCAGGCCAAGGGAACAGGCATTTGTCCACAGACAGCTTTCTGGGTCATGTGGCCAGTATGACTAAACCGCTTCTTAGTGCAACGGGACACTGTGATGGAAGTAAGAGCACATGGAAACGCCATTTACCTTCCTGCCACAGTGGTACCTATTTATCTACTTGCGCTTGCATGCTTTCGAACTGCTAGGTTGGCAGGAGCTGGGACAGAACAACGGGAGCTCACCCGTTGGGGATTCGAACCGCCGACCTTTTGATCGGCAAGTCCAAGAGGCTCAGTGGTTTAGATCACAACGCCACCCGTGTCCCTGGAAGGACCCTCTAGACTAGAGCATGTTGAGAGGAGATGCAGGAAGAAATGCCCAAATCTGCACCCTTCTCCATTCTGCCAACCAAGACCTGACTGCCAAGACTGGGTAAAACCCTTTGCAATTAAAAGAGTAGCCTCCAGCTTGATGTCTTATGACATTATCTTAATAGAGTGCAGTTATGTGAAGCATGTGGAACATACATGCATTAACATTTCATAACCACAAGATACCCATAAATTTTATTGTTTCCACTTTCTGTGCTGCTGGTTTGGCATATCAACACACAACTGCAAGAATGGATGTAGTTCCTTAAAAACAAAGAAAGACAGGCTTCATGCACCCTTCTCTCGCACCATGCATTTTGGTGCCAGAAACACCAGCTCTTCCCATTTTCCCTGGACTGGATCAGATATTGTTTATTAAGAAATCTTACATCCTGCCAATCCAATGTAAAACAGCGGCCAAGGCACTTAATTACATAAAAAAAGCCAGCACTGAAACAATTTTTGCACCGCCAAAAACATAAAAGAATAAAGAAAAAGGCAGGCAGCATTAAAAATTGAATTAATGAAAGCTGCCCACCTCCTCCTGTATTTGCAATTTAAACTATCAGAAAAGAAAAGAAAGTCTGCCTAAGCAAAATCAACTTGACTGGGTAGCAGAAATGGAATCGTGAATGCGCCAACCTAGTGGGCAATAGTGTTTGGTGATACACTATACATAGTTATAGCCTGCTGAAGAGATCTAGGCACAGGAACAATTGCAAGCACTCAGGGAATGTGTCTAATTAATGTGAATTCCAAACTAAATTAAAGGCGATGTACATTTTCTATTCAAGACCAGAGTGCAAATTATCCAAAACTACCTTCCGAAAACCAACAGAAGAGAAATCAGGTGATACGTACACATTATCTTCTACGCAAATTTTAGGCCCAACGACGTTGGCCGCTCCACTTGCCATTTTGAATGCAAAATGGTTCTCTGGACAAATTTTAGTCGTTCCACATTTATATCTCGGGGGTTTTGTAGCTTTGGAGGGAAAAATAAATTCCATTAGCAGAAAAACTATACAACATCTCTTCTTTCTTTCTGAAGACTATACACCATGAACACATTGATTTCAACAGGATGGTTTTTTTTAAAGAAAATCATCTGGAAAAGTGTTTTGTGAAGCCAAAAAAAATACACACTTGTCTTGATGAATATTATGTTAACGGTTAAGAACTGGGAAATAAAAGCAGCATCCTTTACCCCACCAACTTCTACTAGAGCAGACATGTGCAAATTCATGCATTCTGGAATGTGAATTCTTTCTGAGATATAGATATTTTACAGAGTTGGCAGTAACCCCCTGCAAGGCAGGAATATGCAGCTGGGATCAAACCAGAAACCTTGCCACTGTCAGCACCACACTCTAACCAACTGAGCTGCCCAGCTGTTTGTATACGGCTCTTTCTTTTTCAGGCTCCACAAATTACACAGAAGGACGGAGGTAAATGCAATGGCTACCCCAAGCTTGAGTCTCCAAATGTTGTTGGGACTACAGCTTCCATTGCCCATCCTGCTTAGGATTGATGGAGTCCTGGTCCAGCAAAAAATGGGGACCCGGGTCGAGATATAGCTCACTATAATGTTCACTGGGCAGAACATAAATAATGTGTAAATCTGGAGATGAACATTCCAGTGGCAGCTCATATAGGGTGGTGTGGAGGCAGTGGCATCTTCCCAGTGGCGGCACTGCAGTGATCAGGATGAAGCAAGGTGGCGATGTTGGGGGAACTCCAGGTTCAGCAGCCTCACAAAGATGCTCCCACAACCTTGCTGTTGCTGCCTTGGCCCTGACCCATCCCTGTGATGGCCTCGGCCCAGGATACCTGAAGGAGCATCTCAATCTTCTCTCAACAACAACAACGGAGGCAACAACAGACTCTCCAGGTGTGCTTTTTTTAAAATAACAAGCATACAAAGCTGAAAATGAATGAACTGCAGCTAAAATATTATGTTCATTTTTCACATGGTCTAGTCTTTCCCCTGCCCACCCGCCTAATATTCTTCAGAGGGTCTCTTTTCCAATCTTCAGAGAGTAGTGGGGAGGCAGAAAAAGGTCCCCCTTTCCTTCCACCCTGCAGTCTTAATTTGAAATCTTAGGCGCAGCACTGTGCCCAGAGCTCAGAAACTGCTCACACTAATGAAATGCCCTGTCGCAAAATGCGCCTAGAACAATGGGAATTTTGAACACTGTTGGGAAGTCCAAGATATATTTTCTAACTAACCTTTTATCAGTGCTACAGGTATTGGTTCTGCTTAGACGTACTGGATAGTACATCTCCAACAAAGCACAGCTAAAAGGGAAGCTTATAAACAAAAATAGTTTCTAAAGAAAGATGTCCAGTGTTGAACCTGGCTGGAAGCTCTAGATCAGTGTTTCTCAAACTTGGGTCTCCAGCTATTTTCAGACTACAGTTCCCATCATCCTTGACCCCTGGTCTTGCTAGCTAGGGATGATCAGAGTTGTAGTCCAAAAACAGCTGAAGACCTAAGTTTGAGAAACACTAGACACTAAGCCGAGAAACACATATGGTAATTTTGTAGCAATGGAATCACACCCTCCTAAGACCTAGAGACATTTCTTATTACTTCAGGTATTTCTGGCATTCAATATAGGACTTGAGTCCTGACGCAAACTAAGGAACAATGGAAGATGAAATTCATGATGTGGAAGCTACAAAATCAAACCACATAACCGGAACTCAAACGTCAGCAGTAGCACCCCACATAATTTGTTGAGGTCTAACTATATTCATGACGGCATTGATCACTTGATCAGCTGTGCAGTTTTTCACTGATGCTTTTCCTTTGGCAAAGGTTAGCAAATTTGCTTCATTTTGGCTGATATTCCAATGTTTTCGAAATAATAATAAATAGACATAACACTGGCAAATCTGTGTCTTTTGCCACTGTCATTTTACACTGGAAGTGCTTGATACAGGGCTGGATGATGGCAAGGGTAATTCAGTAGTGACCTCCACGGTTGTCGCCTAATTAACTTCAAAATGAAGAGCTCTGATTCATCTTAAGTATTAAATGTCTGCAGTGTGGGTCAGTGACATGCAATGCATTTCTGCTTAAAACAAATCCCATTGTTAACTAGAACTTCATCCTATGAAGGTGTATACGGGATTGCAGTCTGCAGGTGCTTCTTTTAAAGTATTGGCTCTGTTGTTATTTTCCTTTTTATCATCCATGAAAATTACTGCCCCAAATAAATTGTCAGTCCAGTCTTGCAATGTCTGGAATAGAAAGGTATTAGAGACAAGAGGTCACTCTGCTTATCGTCTGGAGCTGAAGCTTGTATTAAGGAAGGAATAGATGCATTTAAAGGACGCGGGTGGCGCTGTGGTCTAAACCACTGAGCCTCTTGGGCTTGCCAATTGGAAGGTTGGCGGTTCGAATCCCCGCAATGGGGTGAGCTTTTGTTGCTCGGTCCCAGCTCCTGCCAACCTAGCAGTTTGAAAGCACGTCAACGTGCAAGTAGATAAATAGGTACCGCTCCAGCGGGAAGGTAAACAGCGTTTCTGTGCACTGCTCTGGTTTAACCAGAAGCGGCTTAGTCATGCTGGCCACATGACCTGGGAAAAGCGAGATGAGCGCCGCAACCCCAGAGTCGTTCGCGACTGGACTTAACTGTTAGGGATCCTTTACCTTTACCTTAGGCACATTTAAGGGAAATCATAAAATAAAAAGACACACCAATAAATTACTAAAAAAAGATTCTGATTGATGGTCTGTTAAAATGATTGTGCTTTATTTATTCAACAACAACCATAAGTATACAGTTTTCAGATCAGACATACAGGTCTCCACATATTCTGCAATGACAGTAATGTACGCTGTATGCAATTGCAGATCTTAGTAGCAGCAAGCAGTGCCATAAATCTCTTTTCCTGTGTTCTTAAAAAAAAAGGAGTCCCATTGAAAATACTGAATATGTGAGTTCATAAAGAAACTATAATGTATGGTATAACATTTGGCAAGCACATGGATATACAAACAAGTCACTGTAGGACACATTCATGAAATTAATTTTTGCCTTGCTTGTTGGGATTTGGCTAAGGTTTACCCCACCGGATTCAATGGTTTCATTTCACCTGGAAAAGCACTCTCTTGCTCTCAATTAATCACTAACTTTTGGAGTTAAGTAGGAGCGTGTTTCAAGGGTAATTTTTCCTTCATCCCCATTTGGGTAATGTTACTGATTGCACACTTCTGGTAAATGGTGCAGAACAGTGAACGTTGGCTAAATTCCATCTAATACAAGTCTTAGGTCTCTGTCTTCCCTGGGGATCCCAATTTGCAGGAGGGAGCAAGTTCCCTAGGATGTTATAATGTGGCTGTGAGGAGTCTCTCATGCTGCCAACCTGCCGCAGGGGGATTCAAATCAATCTGCCTTGGCTGACCAATCGAAAGCCCCGATTGACCTCCTGAAATAATGATAATAATTTATTATTTATACCCTGCCCATCTGGCTGGGTTTCCCCAGCCACTCTGGGCGGCTCCCAACAGAATATTTAAAACATGATAAAACATCAAGCATAAAAAAATTCCCAATACAGGGCTGTCTTCAGATGTCTTCTAAAAGTCAGATAGTTGTTTATTTCCTTAACATCCGATGGGAGGGCGTTCCACAGGGTGGGTGCCACTACCGAGAAGGCCTTCTGCCTGGTTTCCTTTAACCTCACTTCTCACAGGGAGGGAACCACCAGAAGGTCCTCAGAGCTGGACCTCTGTGTCCAGATGGAGGTGGAGACGCTCCTTCAGGTATACTGGGCCAAGGCCTTTTAGGGCTTTAAAGGTCAGCACCAACACTTTGAATTGTGCTCAGAAACGTACTGGGAGCCAATGTAGGTCTTTTAGGACTGGAGATGGGGCCAGCAGAGTTGGCCAGAGAGAAGACCTCTCTCCTCTGGTCCCCTCCTGGACTATGCATACAGCCCTGGCTATGGGTCTCCAAGAGTTTGGTCAACAACGTCTCTGCCATCCCTCATTTTCTTGCTCTCCAGATTTTGCCCCTTGGCAGGTTTCCATAAAGTGCATGACTCTGGAATAAATTTTAGTCACTAGCACAATCAGACCTGTGATTTTACCTTCCTCATTGCAATGCAGGGGTTGGGACTATTAACATTTATTGTCTCAGCTTGTTAGCCGTGGGAGAGGCCTTGGGCAGCATCTATAGCTGGGTTAACCAGGTAATGGGTGCCCCACTTTCCTCAGATGGAATCCCCTTAATGGATCTTGTGGTGGCACCTATGCCTGCAGCCCTAGCTCAGGGAGGGGAATTAGGCTGCTGAACCCCCAGGTTGCTAGAGGGGTGTAAGTGGGCAAGACATCCCAGCTAATTCCTCATATGTGAACATCAACTAGCAGTCGGACCCATTGATAGCAGGATCACCACCCCATGCCATGCCAAAGCTGTGCACTGTGTTGTGGCTAGGATAATTATTCCCCTATCAGTCTGGAAGCACAGTTTATCCACCTAGGCTCCTAAATCTTTCTCTGTGTCACAACCAGCTCAGAAGTCGGACAAATGGATTGAGAGCAGATATTTCATCTGCGAATGCCTTAAGTTGTTTGGAAGATTAGACACAGGCCTGAGACTAACAAAGCCTTTTCTAATCAGCAATGATTTTTCGAGAAGTGGAAGGGATCACCTTTCCTTGAAAGCTTGCAGGACCCTATTCCCATCTAAAGTGGCACAGATTGTACCAAGCAAAAAGTATGCAAAATTCGTATCAGCTACCATTAACCAGGCAGAAGGTGCATATGCACAGAGGCAAAACTTGTGTCTTTAAATTTTTGCTTCCTCTGACTATGGAAAAACGTGTTCCAGAAGTCATTGAAATAACTGTGAGCTGTTTTGGTGAAACGACTGCTTCGCTCATGTGCAAATTGACTCTTCGGTCACACCAAATTATGCTAATTCACTGTGGAATAATTTGGAAAAGTTGTTTACCCAAGAAGAAGTGTTAGAAGTTAGTTAGGGTTGCCATATTTCCAAAAGTGAAAATCCAGACACAACCCCCCCAATCTAAAATAATAATGAAGTTTTAAAGGTATTTTGAAGGGAATTCATCAAAATCTACACTTCCGACATAGGTATGGATTTTCTCAGACATTTCTTGCAATTTCTACCTGGGCACTTGTTTCCGATGGCCGGAATGCCATAATATGTCTGGGAAATTTGGGAAATATGGCAACCCTGTGTTAGTTGAACAGTTTCAGGGAACTAGTGACTAAAGGCACAACTTCATAACTTCATTGCAACCTATTGCCAATGAAATACTTCTACATCATTTCAGTTCATTGGTTATGCTGGCTGGGACTGAGGGAAGCTGTGGTCCAAAATATGAGGAAGGTTATGCTAGAGAAAATTTTGAAATTTAAAGACTGAGTACCGCAATGTATTCTATAATTGATCATGATGAAGACAGCACACAATAAAGGGATACTTTCTCCTGATCTCTTCACATCAAACAAACAACATTATCTCATGGAAATCTTGTACCACATAATACACTGACCAGACTCCCTTTTCTACACATTTACTTTTATCACTGATGAGCAACTACTTATGAAAATATCTGGTCCACACTAATTATTACATTAAATGTCAGTGGGCTTTCATGCTATAGCGATAATTTCATATAAAATATACGTATAAAAATATAGGCCTGGGTCGCTTTCGAAACAGCAGCATCTGAGGAAAATTAAACACAATGTACTACAGCATAGGAAAACCATACAATGGTGATTATGCAGAAACTGCAATTGCACATTTGCCAGCATGAACTATAACACGACCAAAATTCATCCTTAATAAAAAAGGGAACCGAGTCCCACTTTAATATTACTATGAATATAAACATCTTTGTACAAGGCAACCCTCTCTAAGTTTTGCAAGAAAACCCAGTCACAAGAAACCACATAATGTAGAAAAGAAAAAATATATATAAAGAACACAACCAGAATTAATATCCAGAAATCTAAAGATAAAAGGTAGTGAATTTTTAAGACTGTACAATAAAACAGGTCCGCTTTTCCCCACAAAACATACCTTTGGCCCTACTGCAGCATCTTTCATGCTGGAGTCAATGTATGAATTATTTCTGTGACAAATATGTATTCATTTCTTTAAAGCCTACAATGAGAGGGAAATGCTGGGCTTGCCAAATAGAATGCAAATAAGGGCAGGGCTTGTTATATGTGCAAATTTTGAGGTCATCCACTGGGAAATGTGGAAATTGTCCCTTCATTTTATAGGTGTGATGGCTGGTGGCACACACTTGGCCGGATGAGGGGAGGGCTGCCAGTTGGGGTTTTCCAGAACTCTATGAGAAATTGCACATGCAATCTATGGACCTTCTGACTCATAGCAGGGTTCCAAAGATCAGTTCAACAAGCTCTGCCTGTAATTTTTGGGTGCTGGAAGCATCCGCCATGATGCTTCTGACCTTTGGGAGCGACTTCCGACATAGCACAGGAAGTCACACTCATAAGCAAAACAGAGAGTTGATGTATTGTGATGGCTGCAGACTGTGAGCCAGAAAGTCCTCTGTCCAAACTTGGTATCAGGCACTAACTCACTAGGTGGCTTTAGTAAAGCTTTGCTATAAGGTGTGACCGGAAAGTTCGGTGAATGGTCACAGAAATCGGACAGCGAGAAATATTTGAACAGACATACCTTACAGGCCTTCAAAGTAGGCCATCTCTGATACAATGCACCATTGACAATGTTTGTAGAACTGTTGGAAACTTCTGGAGAAGTCCTCTTTTTGAAACTGCTTTCAGATCGCTCGTCACAGCAGCTTGGAGGTGTGAAATGTTGGAAAATCTGTGCCCTTTCAGTGCAGATTTCAGTTTTGGCAAAAGAAATAAATCTGGTGGGGCCAGATCGGGAGAATATGGAGGGTGGGACAACTCAGTAACCTCAGTAACGATTTCACGTGGAATATGGAATTCTTCTGCCATCATTCAGACGGACAAGCACCGATCCCCATCAATAACTCACAAACTCTGTTGACATTTGCCCGCTGTTCTGCTTGTCAACGGTCTGACAGACGGAGGGTCATCTTCAATGGTTTGCCAGTTTTCACTTGGCAAATTGGCACTGGCCATTTGTTTTCCGCCTACCCTTGCTGTAAGCAAATCGTCACAACTCCTTAGTTTTGGCGGTTAGGCATTGGTAAGGGTATTGTTATGTAGATGTGTTGGGGAGGAGGAGCGCCATCACTCCCCCAAATATAGAAGGGTAGTCCGTAAAGGATTCCGGGGGGCGTTGCCTAGTCCAAAGCCTATGGAGGCCAGGGCCTAAAGTGCGCCCCCAATCGGTGACCCCAGAGGAGTACCTAGTTGATGTGCATCAGCAGGGCTCCCCCTGCTGGTGTTAACCCTTTCTGGTGTTCAAGCAAACAGGCTGAAGCCGGATAGTCTGATAGGACCAATGCCTAAGCCAATACCGCTCTTACCTGTAACCAATAAAGTTGTGGCCAATTTTAGCCCATTAACCTTAAATAACTGTGTCCTGTGTCTTTATTCTTACTGGGGGGAGGCGGGAACTTGCCACGCAACTTCATCTCTGTACACAATTGTGAGCATTTCGTGGATTTCTGATGCCAATTGTATGCTAGAATATTTCTCACTGTCCGATTTTCTGTGACCATTCACCAGACTTTCTGGTCACACCTTGTATTAGCTATTGTGCAATCCAAAACGTGCCAAGTCTCTGCTCCCTTAAAAAAATAATGTTGTAAAGCTCCAATAAAACGAGTGGCTTCTCCATGGCTGCACACTTGTGGGTGTTTGGAGAAGTTCTCGTCTCACATCCAAGAATAGTTCATAAATTAAGGAGGACCAAGAGGTACGAAACAACATATTTAGGGCCAAACTAGATGTGATGTGATTGGAGCACCCAAGGTCATTTTCTTGTTCAAAAAACAGTTGTGAGACATGTGTGTGATTTTAATTAGTGCTGCAATAGGGAGGTTAAGTTAACTTGCAGCTCAGATCTAAAGCAACCTGCCTACAGGGTAATTTGTTCAAGAAAATGATTTCACGATCTCCCAGTCATGGCACTCCCATGTTGTGTCTACGTTGGCCCTTAGGACTACAGGACCTGTTTGCCATCATTTACCTAAGTGCAAATGCTAGAAATGGACATCTGGTTCTATAGATGAAGATGTGGTGCTGTTCTTACCGGTAAGTGCATATTCTTGTACTACTATTTTGCGATGCCATAAAACTCTTCAAAATGGAATGAGATTTGTTTCACCGGCAATATAGCATTCTAATCCGTACCTAAACTGGAGCAACATATATCACATCCTATATAACATTACATTTACTTAGCTTACAACTGTTTAAACATTTGGCAATATTTCAAGTAATGTCTCCCCCTCCCTTTGCCCTCGCTGCCATTTCTCGTGCTTCTCTGTCTCCCATTCTGAAACCACAGACACGTGTGGACACATCTTGATTTTATAAGGCTTTGCGGAAAGTGCCACATGTCTTGAGTTATGCTGGTATGTTCAGCCACTCAGAGAAGTGTGTAAAAAAATAAAATCCAAATCTGGTATGGCCTGTGTATTGCCACATGGGAAAGAGAGGAGGCTGGAACCAGGCACTTCAGCCGAGCAAAGTTACATTCCAAGAACCTTCCTGTCATTTGCACAAATGCGGCTGAGGAGGATTTCTGAATACACCTGGTTTATTGGACCTCGCACGTGATAAGGGGACTGAGAATTTGAGGCGTAGGCTTGCAGTTTCATCAGGTTGCTTTGGCTGTTGAAAAATTTGCCCAGAGCATAGGGCCTCGATAACATCATTGCCATGGGAGAGCCTCCTTCAGAAGCTTTAGATTTCACCACCTGAAAAGAAAGAAAATGTGCTTGTGAAACTTTCATATGGTTGCTTCAGGGTAACAGAATGCAGCACCCATTTAAGCTATGGATGAATTGCAGAGGGATAGCTAGATTCTATTTCTGCTTTATTTTGGATTAGCCTCATAGGCTGATTAACTTCTTCCTGGAGCCTGATTGGTCTTCTCCTGTAAGCCAATCAGTTGTTGCATTTTAGGATCCCACTTGCCTATTGTTCTAGGATCCAAGCTTAGTATATAACAGCATTTCATATCGGCTATAAATAATTCGTCCTAACAAACCCTGACTCCCCTCCAGGGAGCTCTCAGCCGCAGGGTCTGCACGCGCCACCATCTACAAAACGGTTCGCGATAATTTTGAAGCATGGAACGTCATCGCCCGTCTTGTCAAGCCCTGCTTGAGCTTCAGGGCTCAGAGACCTGCCGCCGCTATCGCTTTTCACTTCTGAGCATTTTGACGTGACTGCAGATTGACCTGCCTCCTCTAATTCTTCATCTGTTTCATTGTGAAATGCTCCATGACTGATAATCTCCGAGTGCACCGTCCTGCTTTTCACAGCAGGGATCATTCTGGTTGAAGTCAAACACCTGAAACCAAACCAGCTGAGGCAGCTGCTTCTCCTCTTCCTTTCATTTCAGCGCATCAGCTCCAGACAAAACAATATGTTGATGTGCTTTGAAGTGCTATCCCACTGAGGCTCCTCTAAAGAAGCAGAGTGGTTCCATGATATGTTAACTCTGAGGTTTGTATCCAATGGAGACTCTTGCCTCAGCAAAAAAGGGCTTCCACTAGCACAAATCAGGGTCCAATCTACATTTCCCAGACATAGCCAGTATTCATCCCTCATAAACTGCATCCTGGTGGAAAGCGCTGAAATGTCCGGTAAGACCCAAACGTATGGCAGCCCATGTCGGACGTGTAGATTTTGGCAAATTTCAACAACTTTGCCTGAATCTCAAACTTTTGTGTCCAGATTTTCAAAGCAACCCTGTGCTTTCTCCCATACTGTTCCAGAGGGCCCCCAAACTCTCAGGAGCAGCTTTGGGGGGTGACAACATGGGGCTTAGCAGGATAGAGGTGATCAGCTGGCAGTGGGTATTCTAACTTGTGCAAATGGAAAGGCATTCCTCAAAAATATTGGGGGATCAGCCTTAAATGTCGAAGGTACTTTCCATGCCTTTTAGATGGGCTAAATGGCAGTTTAAGAGATGGCCAACTTTTGTCTTCTTGAGGGAATGTTCTATTCTCCAGACATGGTTTGAGGGCCAGGAGCACAGGTTGCCACAATAAACTGAGCCCCACCCCCAAGAGGTCAGGTTCCATGACCAGTTTGGTGCCATCTAGCATAATTAAGGTCTTCATTATGGAGCACATTATACTGCGTACAAGTATGAACCAAATCCAATAGGGAGATGTCATCCTGAAGTGTGTCATATCTGCCCATGAAAGCATTATTCTTTTCTCCCTGAGTAAAACTGTTGGAATGACATTTTACCCAGCTTAATATTTAGCAGCACCATAAAAGACCAGATAAAATTACAAGGGGGACTGCCCACCGGCTATTTCTGATTGCAAGCAAAGTTCTGTAATGTACGCAGGGAGAGTGCTTAATGCACTTTAAATGGTATCTTTGGGGAAATCTCAAATCTCTTTGCGATTAGCACCTGCCAAGGAAAAGAAGTGTGTAAATGCATGTGGATAGAGAGGTCTGCTGTAGGGATCTGCGGATCAAGATACAGATCAGCCCGGTGCTGACAGAATCTCTCAATGCGCCTTCTCAGTTCAATGAGCACAAGCACAAACTCTTCATCCCTGGTCCCTTATTCTGCATTTCTATGCGTGCTTACTCATGTGAAAGTCAATGGGGCTTGCTAGTAAGTGCATTCAGGGATGCACCATAACGTCTGAAGCCCTAGTGTGGGTTGCCTCGGTGTGCTTGCGTTGCAAATCTTTGCACCAAAGTTTGACAAAATGTTGTTGTTGTTTAGTCATGTAGTCGTGTCCGACTCTTCGTGACCCCATGGACCAGAGCACGCCAGGCACTCCTGTCTTCCACTGCGTCCCGCAGTTTGGTCAAACTCATGCTGGTAGCTTCGAGAACACTATCCAACCATCTCGTCCTCTGTCGTCCCCTTCTCCTTGATCTTTCCCAACATCAGGGTCTTTTCCAGGGAGTCTTCTCTTCTCATGAGGTGGCCAATGTATTGGAGCCTCAGCTTCAGGATCTGTCCTTCCAGTGAGCACTCAGGGCTGATTTCCTTAAGAATGGATAGGTTTGATCTTCTTGCAGTCCATGGGAGTCTCAAGAGTCTCCTCCAGCACCATAATTCAAAAGCATTGATTCTTTAGCGATCAGCCTTCTTTATGGTCCAGCTCTCACTTCCATACATCACTACTGGGAAAACCATAGCTTTAACTATACGGACCTTTGTTGGCAAGGTGATGCCTCTGCTTTTTAAGATGATGTCTAGGTAAATCTCTCACTTGACAAAATATAGCCCTCTAATTGGCTCAAGACCCCTCGGCACCACTGTCCCAGAAGGGGGCAGGAAGGAACCATGTGGCTCTTGGATGGGTGCTGAAAAACATCTGCCCCGGTTGGGGTGCAGGGTAGGGCAAAGCCAATGTCCATGCCCCCAGCTTGCTAGCGGGATCCACAAAAGCAGCTTAGGGTTAGTTCGGACAGCAGTTGGGATGTCCGAAGGCCATGGCAAACTAGAGATGCTGTATTCACAATACAGTGGTACCTCGGGTTACATACACTACAGGTTACAGACTCCGCTAACCCAGAAATATTACCTCAGGTTAAGAACTTTGCTTCAGGATGAGAACAGAAATTGTGCTTCGGCGGCACGGCAGCAGCAGGAGGCCCCATTAGCTAAAGTGGTGCTTCAGGTTAAGAACAGTTTCAGGTTAAGAACAGACCTCCAGAACGAATTAAGTACGTAACCCGAGTACCACTGTAATGTTGTGGCCTTGTTTAGCCCCTCCCCCAATTATTGTTCCCCAATCTTGCTTTGGCATGGGCACCCTTGGCTCGCGTCAAGGATTAAACGACAAGCGATTACCTCATGAAAATGGCACCCGCACTTCCCTTGCAAAAACTCCTTGTACCGTCCCATGGTAATAATAAAAGTATCAACCACTTCGTAGCCATATTGCTTTGCAGTGTTCAAAATAGCTTGGTTTTCCTTCCACAGATCTCGCACTTCGGCCTGCAATTGAAATCAAGTCATCTCACATTATCTCATTTATCCAGCTTTTGGTTAAATCAAGACATGTTATCATTGGGACAGTAAGCATATGGATATTATGTACAGGTGTTGGGCTGGAGAAAAGATAACCTTAATTCTTGAGTTATTTGACTCAAGTTATTTCCCCCAGCAAATAGTTAAGCTCAAACATATATTTCTTCAAAAGAGAGGAACAGAGGGGGAAATATTGTGTCCCTTAGATGTCACACCTTTTTAAATAACTGAACCCCAAACTTACAGATGTGCACAAATGAGAACATGCAAAAAGTGCTGTGCTCCAGTGTGGTAGTTTGGGACTAGAAACAGAATTCTACCACACCACATTGCATGCATTTAAACAATTTTCCAAATTTATTTTTATTATTTTAATATTTTATTTATTTGATTGATTGATTTCTTCATCCGATGATCACAGGGTGGTTTACAACATAAAAACACAAAAATACATACCATAGTAACAAACAAAAGCCATACCCACCCCTGACAGTCTAAAAGGCCACAGTCAAAGGCCTGGGAGAACAGATTTAATACATTTGGTATGTAAAGCTGTTCTACAGTAACAAATGCATAGATGGTACATAGCCTGAAAATCATAGATGATAATAATTGTATGATACTGTATAAACATGTTTTTAATTTTGTGGTTGACAGAATGGATGAAGGGGCTTAAACTGTGGATAAGAACTATCCCTAGAACCTGTTTTCAATGGCAAGGCTCAACTTTGAAACACGTGACATAAGAAAATATGAACGGGCCTTTAGGCAGGTGCAAAGTACATCACTGAATATTCATAGAGAGGTTGCTCACGAGGATTTAAGGGAAAGGGCTTCCAAACCAGGCCAAACACTAACCCCTTCTGGCCAAGTGTTTGGATTTAAAGCCAATTTAGGGAGCTTCAGAAACAGTTTCTACGCAAATGCAATTCTGGTTCTAAACGCAGCATAAGGGGTCTTTATAGTATGGTGTATTTTAGAATGGGGTTCAGAGTTTTTAGGGGGTTTTGAATGTTTTATGTAGTTTTTATGTAGTTTGATGTAGTTTTTCAATTTCATTGTTCCGCATGGGACAATGAAAATAAAGATATCGTATCGTATCATTAAAATTAAGGTACAGTGCTGCTACTGTCTGTTTGTCAATTTATAGTTTGTTTATTTGATTGTATGTTTGTCTGTTGGCTTGTTTGCTTTCCTGGCATAAATTTATCTATTTTAAAACAATAAAGATATAAGATATACAGTTAAAAATAAAATAAAATAAAATTAAGGTACAGTGGTACCTTGGCTGTCAAACTTAATCCGTTCCGGGAGTCCTTTCGGCTCCCGAAACCATTCAAAAACCAAGGCGCGGCTTCCCAATTGGCTGCAGGAGCTTCCTGCACTCAAGCGGAAGTTGCGGAAGCTGTGGAAGTTGCGGAAGTCGCAGAAGCCACATTGGACGTTCGGCTTCCGTAAAAGGTTCACAAACCTTTCAGGTTCCAGGTTTGCAGTGTTTGGGAGCCGATTTGTTTGAGAGCCAAGCCGTCCGACAACCAAGGTACCGCTGTATTGGTAATGCCAAAACATGCAGCACCATCTAGTTCAGTAAGTAGAGCAGGAGACTCTTAATCTCAGGGTTGTGGGTTCAAGTCCCACATTGGCCCAAAAGATTCCTGCATTGCAGGGGGTTGGACTAGATGACCCTCGTGGTCCCTTCCAACTCTAAGTTCTACGATTCTATGTGTTTAGGATGAGGCACATCACATAACCTGGCAAAATATAATGTTGTACGGGCATAGCAGCTGTGCTCGAAAGGAACATGCCCCACCATACTTCTGAGGAGCAATGTGTCAAACAAAATAAAATTGCAAAAACATCCTAACGGAGAAAAAATATAACCTACTGGTGACAAGAAATGCACTCCATCCACTGGCAGGTGAAAGCCCATTCCCAGGGATTTTATCACTACCAGGATATTTGGCAGATTCGCCCTGTGGATCAAATGAAATAAAACACACACATTTTATTTACAGATATATAAAACTGACATACCATAAACACCTCTTACTTTTGTCTCCGTTTCGTCTAATGTCCCATACAATGCAGAATCAGATAAAATGATGTCTGTTTGTTTTTTCCGGGAGCAGCCAGTTTGATACTGAGGGTTTGAGCTATCAAAAGTGTAGCACAGGGTTCGCGAGCCCTTGGCTATCCCCACGATACATTCCGGATCATGTTTTGTCAGTGAATTGTAGCTCATTTTGGTGAGTAGGGTTTTTTTTATTGGAATCTGTCTGGTATTTGAGTGACACCTTCCCAGCAACCAAAGTGAGCTCAAAATGGCTTACCACAGTAGCAAAGCACTGACAAATGAAAACATGCCCTAATATGAAAAACTGATGAGTTATGTAGAGTTGGCAAAGTTGACACATAAACTACGTGAGGACAATCATAACTTCAAGGAAGATTGGGAACTTTTTACAAGCTATTTAAAAAAACAAACAAAATGACATGGACTCCTTGGCAGGTTTTGAATAAACATCCACAAATTTATTAATAGAATATATGGCAGATAAGGTAATGATATGTACAAACTTTAACATGCAGAGAATAATATGTGCAAACAAATCAGAGAGGTGAGCTGAGGGAAGTCTTTGGTGAGGGGGAGAGGGAGGGATGAGGAGGGGGGATAAAAAGGGGGCAAAATAATTTAATTGATTATTTGGATTGATAATTTGTTCTGTTGAAATTGTCTAATAAAAATATTTTTTAAAAAAACAAACAAACATGCCCTAATACAAAAGAAATGCACGTCATTCCATAATTCACAGGCTAAAAATGAAGCTTGCAAGAGGACAGAGATGGAGGCAGTGACATAGCATGGGTTTCCAGTGCCCGGGGCCACATGAAGGAGGTACGTATGCACTGTCTAACAGCATCCCCATCACCCAGCAGATCACAGCCCTAGAGCTAATAAAAGAAAAGTTGTTTTGTTGTCTGGAGAGGGAAGGTTGACATATGTCCTGATTTTCCCAGAAATACTGCAGCCTGAAGCAACGTCCAACAACTTTGGGCAAAAAAAGAGCTCAACAACTTTTCTCACCAGATTTTCACTGTTTGAAATATGGCAAACCCTAGAAGAGGTCACTTCCCGGTTCGCATGTAGAAACCCATTTTCAACTGAAGCACACAGTTGTATTGAGGCAGCACGGGGTGTTGAAATTTTGCACCCTTAACAATTTTGCACCCAGGGCAACCTCCCCCCATGCTATACCACTGCACAGAGCAGTAGGAAAGGTATTGAAATCCTCTGGAAGAATGGGCTCTGTGAATATGACTGCCAGAAAACCTCCTAGGCACAGAGAAGTCATCATGCGAATTGAAGTGGAAGTTATTTTACAGTTTGGTGTAAGAACAGCAACGAAAGACTGTAGCGTGGACACTTACCGTTTCAGCACTTTTTGAATAATATGTAAGTGGTTGAAATTGAGCCATTGGACACCACCGACAACTAATATAGTCTGGTCTGTGTTCTCTAGCGGCTGTGATCTGAAATAAAGAAGAAAGCCAAAACTGCAAAATATACCCTGCTGCAGAATCAGAACAGATGGCAAGCGTTCACTTCAGCCAACCCTACAGGCCATTCCTGGCCACAAACGGAACGGCTGATGTCATTTAAAGTTACATAAGCTTAAAGAAATTAGAGACATATTAAGTAGTTATACTTTTTCTCGTTTTCATTTTGCACAAATCTAGATGTAGATTTGCAAAGGACACACACACACACGTCAGGGAAGAGGATTTCAGCATTGTGCCAAGATATCAGCATTGCACTGGAATTCGAAGGAGGTTGCAGGGTCACCTCTTCACAATCTTCTCTTTTACTCAATGTGAAGAAATACCCATGGAATAGTAAAGGTAAAGGGACCCCTGACCATTAGGTCTAGTCGTGGCCGACTCTGGGGTTGCGGCCCTCATCTCGCTTTATTGGCCGAGGGAGCCGGGTCATGTGGCCAGCATGACTAAACCGCTTCTGGCAAACCAGAGCAGCGCACGGAAACACTGTTTGCCTTCCCGCTGGAGCGGTACCTATTTATCTACTTGCACTTTGACATGCTTTTGAACTGCTAGGTTGGCAGGAGACCCATGGAATACTACTGACAAAAAGGGGGCATGAAGAAGAAGAAATAATCTGTGTCAGATGATATATCACTAAGAGGCAGAGTGTGATGTACGGCTCAGGACTGCAATACCTCATGGACCGCCTGTTTCCATATGAACCTACCCGGACCCTGAGATCACCTTCTGACACCCTCCTACATGTTCCTCCTGCTCGAGAGGTCCGGAGGGTGGCAACATGGCAATGGGACTTCTCTGCAGTGGCTTCCCCATCTGTGGAATGCTCTCCTTAGGGAAGTTTGCCTGGTGCCTACATTATACACCTTTAGGCGCCAGGGAAAAACGTTCCTTTTTAACCAGGCCTTGGCTGATTTGATTTAGAATAGAATGGAATTTCTTATTTATACCCCGCCCATGTGACTGGGTTTCCCCAGGCACTCTGGGCGGCTTCCAACAAAGTATTAAAATACAGTGGTCTGTTAAACATTAAAAGCTTCCCTAAAGAGGGCTGCCTTCAGATGTCTTCTAAAAGTCTGGTAGTTGTTTTTCTCTTTGACATCTGGTGGGAGGGTGTTCCACAGGGTGGGTGCCACTACCAAGAAGGCCCTCTGCCTGGTTCCCGGTAACCTCACTTCTCGCAGTGAGGGAACCACCAGAAGGCCCTCAGCGCTGGACCTCAGTATCTGGGCAGAACAATGGGGGCGGAGATGCTCCTTCAGGTATACTGGACCGAGACTGTTTAGGGCTTTAAAGGTCAGCACCAACACTTTGAACTGTGCTTGGAAATGTACTGGGAGCCAATGTAGGTCTGTGCCCTGTACATTCTATGCCCTTTTAAAATGGGGCTCTTTCTGGGGGGAGGGTGTTATTGGGTTGTTGTTATTATTCTGATTATATATGTTGTGATCTTTTCTGTGAACCGCCCTGAGACCCCCAAGTATAGAGGCAGTTACTGAAGCTCTGCATTATAGTAATCAGGGCTGCCGACTGGCCCCGCCCCCATTGAGGGGTCCCAGCATCATGTGATGTTTTCCCCAACGCTCTTGTGTTGGCAGTGGTGGATGGGGTGCATGGAGGTGATCTTCCGAACATCCCGCGGATATACGCCAATGCTTGCCCGTGCTCGCCTGGCGGCAGGGGATGGCAGCCCCCTAAAAAAAATTGGGGGCTCAGCTCCCTGCCCACAATATTGAGGGGGCCAAAGCCCTTCTGCCCCTATAGTTGGCACCCTAAGTAGTAATTCCTTTTTATCAATACAAGAACTGCATAAAACGTCTACAAGAGACTCAAACCTCTCACAAATTCCTTCCCTCTTGTGGCTAGAGCAGGGGTCAGCAAACTTTTTCAGCAAGGGGCCGGTCCACTGCTCCTCAGACCTTGTGGGGGGCCGGACTATATTTTGAAAAAAATTATGAATGCCCCACAAATAACCCGGAGATGCATTTTAAATAAAAGCACGCATTCTATTTATGTAAAAACACGCTGATTCCTGGATCGTCCGTGGGCCAGATTTAGAAGGCAATTGGGCTGGATCCAGCCCTTGGGCCTTAGATTGCCCACCCATGGGCTAGGAAGTGCTGGCATAGAGACATTGGATGCAAGGAAATCAAGTGAATCACTGTCAAAAACGGAATGATACCTTGGGAAACAGATGCTCCAACATACCTGAGTAGCAGCTGCTCAAGAGCCTCTTCGAAGGTTGGTCTTTGCTTTACGTCAATCCAAAACTGGGGGTAATAGGAGTAGCTGATAAAAGTGTCCCCGTTGTTCACGTTATGATAGAACTTCATGTCATGAGCCTTTTGCCATTCTTGGAGAGTCTCATTCACTCTCTCTATTAAGTAATACATCATCCCTCTGTTGGTGGAATCGCCAATGAAAAGAACCTTTAAGGGCAAAAAGTATATTGCAGCATTTCATGTTCTCAAGTCTGCAGGCATCTGTGGAATGAAAGCAGCTTAAATCGAAGGGCTTTTGCTCAGCCGAGAGGGTATTTATTTGTTTTCTTATAGTCAATTAATTTCTACACCACCAGTTGTCATAAATAACCTCTGGGCCTTTTGCACGTAGAAAATCATTAAAGCGACAAAACGCAATCGCACCTTAAAACCAATACTAACATCTGTAGGAAGCCAGCCACGAAAAGCAGTACCCTGTTACAAGTGGGCAACATGGATCAGCCACTTTCAAATACTTGTGGGGAAATATGCCACATATAAACGACATCAACCTGCCTGCTGCAGGTATTTGTGTTCCACTTCTAATTCTGGCAAGGCTAACAAGTCTCTAGAAGCACCCGTGTTATGTAGAAAGACAGGAAACTGACTTATACTAAGGTGTAATCTACACACATATAAAAACCATTCTGAAAATGCTTTTTACAAAAAGAAGCATTTAAAAAAATACATTTAATTTTCCATAAGGCCCGACATCGCCATCTAGTGTTGCGTTGTATATTGCACACCAAGCACACTTAAAACGCTTTATTTGCAGCTGTATAGTTGAGTCCCAAGTCTACATAGTCTGGGATTGGCCTATCAAGCTTTCAGGCAGGAGTTTCCCCAGAGATTGAACCTCTGATTTTTTACAAGCAGAGCAGATACTCTGTTGTTGAGTTATTCCCCCCACCCAACCGAACTAGGGCTCTTCACATGTTTTGTGATCTGTAACTGTGCTTTGCCCTTAACACAAAGTAAGTGGGAAAGAATGGCAATTAATTACCGTTCAATGTCAATTAAAGAATGTGCAATAATTATGGTCGTGGTCAAGATATTGCCCAGCATTATAGCACTGGACAGCTATGTTGGAAAATGACCACAAGCTAAAATTTAAACTATTTGACAATTGCCTAGTGTAGAAGGGAGTCTGTGCTTTTTGCTGCAAGGACCGAGCATGGAAATATCTCATTATGTCTATAAAATGGGATTAAATTAGACAGGTATCATAAATCAGGCACAGTTAAGAGACTTACAGCAGAATCTAACTGCATCTACTCAGAAGTAGGTCCTACTGAGGTCAAACTTTCTCCCAGGTAAGTGTGTTTTAGATTGCACCTTAAACTCCAAAATGCTCATTTAGGTAAAAGTATACAAGTTCCTGTTTAAACAGGTGTATATTAAGACCGTTAGTAAATATTGTCTTTTTAATATTTCATGTTCTTAATAATACATTGCTGAGGGCGTTTCATTACAGCAGTAAAATGTGAATTGCTTTCTTACCATAATAAATAATATGTATGCTTCATCACCTTTCACTTAGAATGTAATTGTGCAATTAGCTATACCTAGTTATCTGAACAACTACTTATTATTCATGACCTGTTCCTCACTTCAACTTTTCCTGAAAAGTTGACGTGTACAATAATTAAAGTTTTATGCTTCAGCACATCACTGAACTATTACGGTAAAAGTTAATTAACCATAAACTTATATGAGGTTTTGTGACACAGATGTAAAACTAATTAAACCGTTTTTATTTGGTTTTCACATTCCCCACCCCCCTCAACACTGTTAAGCTCATGTCATTTCCCAAATGGATACAATTTAACAAATGTAATATAGCCTTCACATAGTTTGCGTTAATAAGGGCTTCAAAGACAAATTGCTGCATATAATATGAAAGGAAGTGAGTAAAGAACTTCTCAACCCGGAATTCCTTTCAGTCTCCACATATGACTGATTAACTTTGCTAACACATCATTAATCTATATAGACCCTCTTTAAAAAAGATGCTTTGGGGAATTTATATATTCCCCCTTTTCATGTCTCAGCCAATCCGTGGCTTTCATTTCACCACAGGTGATCTTGAGTTAGTACTGACAGAAATAATTCAAGCACAAGGTCACATGCACGGAAATGGGGGGGGGGGATGTGGTTCTGATGAAGGCAATAGCACCTATTAGAGATAGACTGAAACTCCACTCCTGGGTGAAATCTACACACATAAAAAAAACCGCTGTGAAAATGCTTTAAAAAAAGTTTTGAAAAATACGTTGAATTTGGCATAGCTCACTCTCACCATCTAGTGTCACATTTGTATATCGCGCTTTACAATGCATTTAAAACGTTTTATTTGCAGCTGTATAGCTGAGTCCCTGGACACAGTTAATGGCTCCCACTGGACCAAGCATTCATTGGACAGCATAAATTTGTGTGTTAATTTGTGTGTTATGTTCCAGCTTTCACGTGACGTAAAAGCCACTTCTAGAAATCAAGCGGAATAACGTGCAAGTTTAGTGCTAATTTCTGTGTTACATTTGCTTCCAGAAAAAAAAAAAATGTTTGCAATCCTGGAACCCACTTGCAAGCCTGGAAGTTTGTATAGGGCTGTGCACCTATAGTGTGATCTGTAAGTGGGATTCCTTTAGGAATCACTTTTCCTCTCCTCAGCAAGTGATCCTGCAGGGTCCCGGGAGAGGCTCCACAACTAGCTTTCCTTAAGAAAGCTCCTTTTCCTACAGCTGGGTTCATCTTTAAGTGTACTTAATTGTAATAAATGTTCCTGAATTTGGATAACATATAGCAAAATCTGTACATTTTTTTTTTACTTACTTGTAAAACTTGTGCCACCGGCTATTGTACCTGAGCCACAGATCTCTGTCAAAAGTTAGACAGTCAAGCCATGCCTATTAAGAATTGCGTTTCCAAGCAACCATCTTAGAATGTTCACTACAAGAAAAGTCAGTCTAGTGAGGTCCGCCTGAGACCTGCACAAGAATGTGAAAGAAGATTTGTTAAGATTATTAGGCAGAAGCAATGCCATGCATTAGATACCCAGCAAAAGAAACAGAGTGCATGCAAAGTGTGTCTATGCTCCAACCATAATACAGTGGTACCTTGGTTCTCAAACACCTTGGTACTCAAACAACCTGGAACCCAAACACTGCAAGCCCGGAAGTAAGTGTTTATGAACTTTTTTCAGAAGCCGAACATGCTCCATTTGAGTGTTACGCTTCTGATTTGAGTGCCACACTTCCGTTTTGAGTGTTACATTGAGGTCTGTCTGTTTTTGCCATTTATTTTGTGTTTTTGGTTTTTTGCAGCTCTTTTTGTGTGTGACTGTGTGGAAACCCAGATCAGCTATTGATTGATTGATTGATTGATTGATTGATTGTGTGACTGCAGTACATTGTTTATTGCTTCCATTTTATGGATCAATGGTTTCGTTAGATAGTAAAATTCATGTTAAATTGCTGTTTTAGGGGTTGTTTTTAAAAGTCTGGAATGGATTAATCCATTTGCTTTACTTTCTATGGGAAAGCATGCCTTGGTTTTGGAACGCTTTGGTTTTGGAACGGACTTCTGGAACAGATTAAGTTTGAGAACCAAGGTACTGTACATTGTGTTTTAGTCTTCATCTGAAACATGTCACTTCTTAATGTGTGACTAGGACCTATTTCATTCAATGCCTGAATACTGTCAAGTCAAGGCCAGTTAGAAATGGAAGCACGACGGTCACAGGGAGATAATTCTGAAGTAATATCAAGGCTACTTTAATATATTAATAATAGCGTATATTCATGTGCAAACTTATGCCGAAGAATGTCAGGACAATGTATTCGGTGCTGAGATAAACTGAATCCCCTTTCAGCTCTCCTGTTCCAAATTACAACCTACCTTTTTGTTTTTACACATTGTTGGAGCTCTGTTTTGTTCACAATGGGATATTGACAATCGTGCGGCTGCCATGTTATCTGCCTCCAATCACAGGTTCTGTTGTCGGAACAACTCAGACAGGGCACAATCCATTGTCCTAAAAACAGAATATAACCACACTTTGGTTTTCATCTGGGCTACTTGTATTGCTGTTACTAAGAGGAGGCGTTTGTGACTAGGACCAGATTTCTTCCCACCGCTGGTCACTGACTGTCAGACAAGACCTCAGTGTGACAACCTTTAAGCCGGGCAGAATAACGCAAGAATCTTATTTCTGTATTTGCCTTTCCTCCCAGGAGCTCAAGGCTGTGTAGATTACCCCCCACCCCATTTTCTCCTCACAAAAGCCCCTGTGGGTTAGGTTAGGCTCAAAGATGGTGACTGCCCAGAGGTCACCCAATGGGAACTTAAACCTACTTTATACCAGGTCAGATCGTTTGTCCATCTAGACCAAGGTTCCCCATCATCCCTGACCACTGGTCCTGCTAGCTAGGGGTGATGGGAGTTGTAGTCCAAAAACAGCTGGAGACCCAAGTTTGGGAAACAGGCCTAGGTTTTCATATCACCTGCTTCCTGATCCTTTCAACTAGAGATACCGAAGACTGAACCTGAGAACTTGCCATGAAAGGCTTGAGCTCAATCACGGATTTTCAATCCCTTCTCTAAACACTGCAAAGTTATAGATTTTTATAATTAATTTATACAACACTAGAGAGGTGTTAGGGATGCGGGATGGTGCTGTGGGTTAAAACCACAGAGCCTAGGGCTTGCCGATCAGAAGGTCGGTGGTTCGAATCCCTGCGATGGCGGCGAGCTCCCGTTGCTCGGTCCTTGCTCCTGCCAACCTAGCAGTTTGAAAGCACCTCAAAGTGCAAGTAGATAAATAGGTACCACTCTGGCGGGAAGGTAAACGGTGTTTCCGTGCGCTGCTCTGGTTTGCCAGAAGCGGCTTAGTCATGCTGGCCACATGACCAGAAGCTGTATGCCAGCTCCCTCAGCCAATAAAGCGAGATGAGCGCCGCAACCCCAGAGTCGTCCGCGACTGGACCTAATGGTCAGGGGCCCCTTTACCTTTATCTAGAGAGGTGTTGAATAAAGTTCCTGCTGTTAACACTTCTTTCTCCTGGTTCCTTAGAAGATTAGGGTTTTGCCACTGTAGTATCCAAAGAAAAGCCTTCCTCATTCTGTATAAAGCTTTGCCCATCTTAAGCTGCCACCATGAAAGGAGAGTTTTCTCTCCTTTCATACTATTTTAAAAGTCTTTTTCACCAGCTCATTTCCATCAGCATCCTATGGATGTTGACTCAGGAGCTAAAACCCATTGTGGTCAAGGGAGCTTATTTCTTGATAATAATGGGAATATCTAGGAGTAGTAAGGAATTGTGCACTTTTTCGCAATATTAAAATATTGTTATATATCCAACAGACATTTGTTTCTCAAGAAGCACACAGAGTTCTGACCTAACCTAGCTGTGTCATCAGCATTCGAAGTTCATGGTTCATTTTTGATTTTTTTCACTTAATGTGGCTCCCTGTAGCAAAATAACCTGCATTCTAGTGGGAACAGGATGCCTTTCTGAACCCGTATGAAATATATCAGGAACAAACCTTTTGTGTCTCCCGTTTCACATGTTTTCAACTGCGGCTCTGAAATGGCTGACAGGTAGTCAGCAGAGAGAGGTTGCAAGCCACAGGGTTCTTCAGGATGAATGAGTGTGCCACAATCCTGTATTAAAATGTGCAGATACAATTTGTTAACACCCAGCCATTATTTTGTAATATCACATATAAAATACACTGGACAATACAATATTAAGAACTCCCCAGTTATGAGGAATGTTGCAAGGGAAGCTGTTCTTTCCTGGTTCCTGCTGTCAGACTTAGCTGGCTCTGAAACGTAACCAAAAATCAAACATACATAATCCCAACTCTGCACCTATGGGCTTTTTCTTCTTCTGGAGATGCACAAGTCTCTCAGTCATAGTTTCATTCATCTTCTTGCTTTCGGAATATTAAGATCAGTTCTCCACATTTCCACATCAGTTTGCAATTTTAAAAAGTTATCATGAAAATTCGCCAGGTTACCTGCATCAATTTGTACTAAAATACACATGGTGGTTTGCAACTTTGCCTAATATACCAATTTTGCAAAGCAATTTCCCCTTGAAATAATACATTTTTGTATGTCATTTTCATGAATATATGCATTTCTAAGGATTCTTTA